TTTTTTTATGCTAACACATAAAGTAGGGATATTCTCATTAAGATTGCTACGGTATTTTGCATATTTTAGCTAAAATTGCTGGGGAAAATATGCACTTTCTCATATAAAGGAGCACTTGGAGTCATTTGTTTTTTTTAATGTTTCCCATAGCAGCAGTTGCTATCATAACAAAATTTAGATCAGGTGTTTGTTTATGAATTTCTAAAGATAAATAAAAAGTACTTTGAGACCTCATGCTACAGATTTGTTTCTAATGCATTGTAACACATTCACAGTCTACCAACCCTTTTCAGACTGTTAACTTTCTGTGATATTTTCCAATTGTTTCATTGCAAACCCCTGCCAGTTGATATAATAATATACATTAAACACATCTCAGCTTAGTTTGTAGCTAGTCATGCATAAGATGAGTGAGATTGCTACTTTTCTCCAGCTACCAGAAAAAAAACTAATGTCCTTGAATTGCTGATAATGGGCCCTAAAATCTCTAAAGATTCAGAGGAATAAAGCAGAGGTGAAGGGATGCTTCTGTTTTTCCTGAACACATAACCAATTATGTTTAGCCAGCCTGGGTGTGTGTAAACTAAAGACAAGCTAAAGGGCTAAGCTCTTTCTATGAAGTGATATTCTGGGCATGTAGGTGAAAATCGGAGAGATTTAAAACTTTGAGTCCCAGAAAGTATTAGAAAGGCTATCAGATTAAGTAAATTAAATATGTGGGATTTGGGAATGTTTAGTTTTCTTGTGGAGTACATACTGCCTGATTCTTCGTCTGTATGTACCATGCCATTATTCCCTACCTCAGGTGCTATTTTTTTCTTGAGCAGCAACCAAGGGATGCAACTCCTGTTGAGCAGGCTGACAGATTTACTAATTTGGGGAGTTTTGTTATATTAAATTCTTTAAAGCTCCTGTTCCAACAGTCATCAGGTGATTATACTAGATTCTCAGCTTCCAAGGAAGCTGGAGGAGAAAGTCTTGCACCCTTCTTGATCTGATCTGATAGGGACATGGCTTGACATGCCATGGCACAGCAGTAGTGGTCAGGGCCCCTGTTCTCACGAGAGCATCACAAAGCCATTTCACCCTTCAGCTTGTCAGGCTCTATAAAACCTGGCTACTTCTGAGTAACTATGGAAAGCACAGCCAGCAGCAACTAGCACGGTTTAAGAGATGTAAAACTGATAAGCATTATACAGTGACTAGCAACAAAGCATTTACTGAGGCATTCTACCAGCCTTAGACTAGATAACAATTTTGCACACAGCTGCTTGCACACACACCTTACAAGTACCATTGCAGGGCTTCCTCCCTGCCCTGGCAGACTTTAAGGAAGCCGGAAAGTGTGCAGAAACTGAAGGGCATGATTAGTTGGTCACATATCCTGCAGACAGCATAGCATGGAGCAATCACTTGCCATAGCAACCTTAACGTATGGAGAATCGACTGCAGAAATAAACTGATTTTAATTACTGGCGCAAATGTAATTAGCAAGTAAGCTATAACTAAACAATGTAAGAGAGAGGAAGCTTTTTTTAAAGGGTCTTTTGTTTCTTCAACTGAGAGCTTAATGGGCATTATTATTACTTACTATGTCCCCAAGAGCAGCTCTGCAGCAACTGAAGAGAAGGAATGGGCAAAGGGTTGCTAGCTACAGTTTTCTGATGCCAAATGTTGCCAATGTTATACAGTCACCAGAAATAAAATGTGTCGGGTCTAATGCAAGCGTGAACCTGGGAATGTCCGTACGTGAGTTAGTCACAGCAGGCTCACTTTGTAAGCACTGGCGAAACACAGGCATCTTTAGTGGGAAACGCACCTCATTCTCGGGTAGAAAACTATTTTTCTGCGTGAAGGAGGCGAAGGCGCCACACGGAGGCTTAAGAGGGCAGATTCCGCGGCGCAGGGCCGCCCGCCCCGCCGCTCCCCTCAGCGCACGGGCTGCGGGCGAGGCTCGCGGCAGCAGCGCGGGCCGCCCCCTGCTGGGCACGCGGCCGCAGCACAGCTCCGGGCCTTCCCTCCTCGTGCGTCCGCGCGCTCTCCGCGCCCGGCACAACTCCCACGAAATTAGCGACTTGTGCCCCAAAGTTGTCATTTAGCCTGCCAAACCTTGCTCCTGAAGGCGAGAGGGAGGCAGTACTTCTCCCCCCCCCCCCCCCCAAAGATACGGGTTTAAATTAGAGTTCTCCATTTCCTCTGTGTGTGGGGCTGTTTTGTAAGAAGAGAGTAAGAGCAGTGGTGGCTTCAAACAGAAGACAAAGCTCAGGTAGGGCTGTGAGGAGAAGGGCCGAGCTGCCTGCCTTCAGGAAGAGCCTAAGAGTAGATGAAGCCAGGAATTCTCTTTTCAGAGTTCCTTTATCCTGAGGATGCTAACTGCTTTTAAGCATCTGGTTTGGCAAAGCTTGGGCACCGCACTTCAGGAGTCTGGTCTTACTCTTTGGGTTTTAATCTTCCTTTGTAAAATAAAAACAGTTTTTTAAAAAGCTCTTCTCTGGTTTTCAGGGACACTCTTAATATAAACAGATGGATCAGAGATCCTTGACATCAGGTATTGTGGCAATGTTCTGCAAGTATTTTTAAGATTTCATCCTACATCCTTGTATCCCAATGATCTCATGCTCTTGGCCTTTGAGAATGTCTCTTTACAGAGAGAAAGAAGAGTATGAAAAAGAAAATGTCAACCCCCCTCCCCAAAAAAAAAAAAAAACAAAACCCTTTAGCCTCTTACATGAAATAAAGAATAATTATTGCAGTCCTGGTCTAACCATTAGTGGAAATTGTTAAGCTTCTTATAATAAAAGCTTAAGAGGATGAGAATTATGTAATGCCCAATTCCAAAAGTATTTTGTTCTCTGACATCTCTTGTCATGTTTCTGATAAAGGCTGAGCTATTAGACAAATTCTCCAGAGACTACTTTGGTGTAGGTACCTTCATAGGTGCCAAAACCCACTTTTTTTTTCCTGGATAATTTGCCTTAGAAAAATTAATTTTGCTTTCCCTGTGGTTCAGGTGGCTATAGTATGCAAGAAAACAATTGGCACACTAGGAGAATAAACAATAGCTTTCTCCTTTCCAGAAATTGTATTCTCTACAGGAATTAAACCGCGGGCTGGACACCAAGTCCTAATTTGGACCTCTTGCCAATTTGTCTCTTTTACTGAAGTAAAAGGAAGTTGGGCTACTGAAGGGACAATCTAAACTGGGGAGCTGGGAGGAGACAGCCGGGACAGGTGACCCAAACTATACCATATGACATCATGCTCTGTACATAAAGTAGGGAGGAGGAGAAAGGGGGGATGTTCACAGTGATGGCATTTGGCATCCCAAGTCACCATTACACATGATGGGGCTCTGCTCTCCTGGAAATGGTGGAACAATTGCCTGCCCATAGGAAGCAGTGAATTAATTCCTTGTTTTGCTTTGCTTGTGTACACGGCTTTTGCATTCTCTATTAAACTGTCTTTATCTTAACCCAAGAGTTTTCCAGCTTTTATTCTTCCAATTCCTTCCCCCATCCTACTGACTGGGAAATGAGCAAGCAGCTGTTTGGGACTTGGTGGTTGTGTGGAAGGGCAGCAGTCAGGCCTCCTTCCTGCCCACCTCACACCAGCAGCCCACAGGAAACCAAGGGAGGATTACATGGCTCCCATACTAGCAAGACTCATAAGAATTTACAGGTTGGAAGGGATCTTAAAGACTATCTAAGCCCAGCCTCTCCTGCAGTGGGCAGGGACCCCTTCCACTAGACCAGGCTGCTCAAAGCCTCACCCAGCCTGACCTTGAACACTGCCAGGGCTGTGGTATCCACAGCCTCCCTGGGAAGCCTGTTCCAGTATCTCACCACCCTCACAGTAAAGAATTTCTTCCTAATATCTAACTTAAATTTTCCCTCTTCCGGTTTGTACCCATTACTCATTGTCCTGTCACTACAGTTCCTGAAGAAGAGTCCCTCTGTGGCTACACTGTAGAACCCCTTTGGACACTGGAAGGTTGCCATGAGGTGTCCATGCAACCTTCTCTTCTCCAGGATGAACATTCCTAACTGTTACCCTGTCTTCATAAGGAAGGTGCTCCAGTCCTCTTATCAACTTCATGGTCCTCCTCTGGGCTTGCTCCAACAGTTCCATGTCCTCCTTCTGCTGGTAGAGCCTGTGACACAGGAGGGTCTCCCAGGAGGAGAGGGGAACAATCAGTTCCCTTGACCTGCTGCCCACACTGCTTTTGATGCAGCCCAGGTACGGCTGGCTTTCTGGGCTGCAAGTGCACTCTGCTGAATCATGCAGAGGTTTTCATCAACCATTACCCCCAAGCCCTCGGCAGGGCTGCTCTCAATCACCTCTCCACTCAGCCTTTAGGTGTGTCTGGGATTGCCCTGAACAGGTGCAGGACCTTGCACTTGGCCTTGCTGAACTTCATGAGATTCACATGGGACCATCTCTCAAGCCTATCCCGATCTCTCTGAATTGCATCATTTCAATGGCACCACACAGCTTGGTATATCAGCAACTTTGATGAGTGAACTCAGTCCCACTGTCCATGTCGCCTATAACGACGAGCAGTGTTGGCCCCAGCACCGGCCCCTGGAGGGACATCACTAGTCACTGGTCTCCAGGTGGGCAATGCCGCTCAGCTCTTTGCCTGCGGGCACTGAGAGGAGACGTGCCGCACCGGGCAGCCCGGCGCTGAGGGCGGCCCTGGCGGCGGGACAAACCTTCCCGCCCCGGCCGCGCCTCCCTCGGGCGGCGCCATGTACTGCGGAGGGGGCGCCACAGCCCCCGCGCGGCTCTCCTTGGTACGGCCCTCTCCCACGGCCTTGCCCCTTCCTGCCCCCGGCGCGTGCGTACTCCCCGCGCTCGCGGTCGACCCCTCCCCGCGGGCTGCGCGCCTGCGCGGCGGCCCTCACGTCAGCGGCGTGCGCCGGCGGTGGCGGCGCCGCGCGGTGAGAGTCGGCCGCCATGACCTCCGCGCTGGAGAACTACATCAACCGTATCCTGCGGGTCGGGCACGGCCTCCCTCCGCAGCGGCGCCTGACCGTGCGCCGGGTCGCGGCTCTGGAGCTTGGGCCCTCGCTGTTGGCGGTGTCGGTTTCTCCTGACGGGAGGCCGGCCTGGCGGGCCGGAGGTTAGGCCGAGAGCAGGGTCCCCTACAGCGGCCAGTGCTGTCCGGCTGAGCTTTGCCCGTGATGAGCGGGATTCGCCCTGGGCTGCTCCCTTAAAGGGCTGTTAGCATGGCTTTAGTTTGCTCAAAACCTGTAGCTGGGGTTCTTGCAGCGCTTTTGGTGTTAGTTTTTCTGTGCTTCTTGTAACCCATGGACATTTTCAGTTTTATTCACAAACAGTAAGCTAGTAAGCCAGAATTAGTCAAGGTGATGAATAGATGATCATCGAATTGGGATAATCACATCTTCAGGAAGAAGGGATGCAGAATACTAGCCTCGAGATCACCACTACAGAGCTTTTTAAGGACTTTTAAAGTTTTTTAAGGACTTAAAGTGTTTATGAAACTGTTTTTTCCATTTTGAGGCAGTGCAGTTAGTAATGGGAAGAGAGGTGAGCTCGAATCTATATTCTGTTTTCAAGGCTTTTCTTGTTTGTGTATGACTGTCCATGGGTGGGTGAAGAGAGACGTTCAAGGAGGTGTTAATGAAAAATACTATATTGTCACATGTTATTGTCAACCATGCTGTTTTAAAAAAGGAGCTGATAGGCTTTTTAGGCTCTAAATGGCTTCTAAAACCTGTATATGAATGCTTCAGAAAGTGTTAATGGTTTTATTTCAGATATGACTAAATGTTTCCTTAATGAAATATCAGGTACTGTTGCAGTAATTACTTCTGATGGAAGAATGATTGTGGTAAGACTTATTTTTTTAGCATTTTATTTTCCCCCATAAAGACTTCCCATCATGGCAATAAAGAAACTCTGTTAGGATAGTCTCATATATTCACACTATTAAATTATATTGTATAGAATAATTGCCATAAAGCTTTAAGAAATAATTTTATGAACACTTACTGTTTCTTGCATGTCATGTCACCTTTTTTCCATTGATAAGTTTGTGTGTGCAGATGCTCTGCTCTTTTTGTCAAATGGCTTTTTCTGTGGGAATATACCAAAAGGTGCATTCCTCTTCTGTTCAGTAATTTACTTTCTATCTAAAATGTCCACTTTGTTCTGTATGCTCTCCAACTTTTCTGCTAAAACCATTTCTTCCCTATGGCTGTAGAAAAACATCAGCTGGAGAATTGCTGTAGAAGTGTTGTGGGCTTCTGTTTATATGTGAAAACCTGAGGATAGGCCAACTTATTATATTAGACTATATAATATTTTTGGGGGTTTTTTTGCTTCTCTATTCTGGGCTTTTTTTCCTTGCATCACTTCCTCCCATCTTTTATTCTTTTGTGTTTTGAGTGTAACTTAATAGTACGATTGTTGCAGGAGGATTGTGTCTTTCTGGCTGCACTTAGCTTTGTGCAGCCTCTGGAAAGAGAAAGCAGAAATCTGTTGGCTTCACCAAATCTGCGTGGCTGAAGTCAGTCTGGTAAACTCTGTGTGTGTGCTCCAAGATGCTTCCTGTCAATAAAGATCTGAATGGAGTTGGTATATATGACTCGTTGTTAGGTGATAGAAATGCATATAATGGCTGTTTTATGTAAAGCTGATCTCTTATGTGAGTTTGAATTTCTTAATCAATTAGTGATGGTAAATTTATGTTAACAATTTTCCAAACATGTACTTAAGTACCACAAAATCCTGCATTTATTTTTTAAATAATTTAGTAAACACAAGGTGATCTCCTTCAAAGAGATACCACTTAAAATTGCTTGTTAGGAATGGTTTCAATATTGTTGCCCATAAGAATCCAACTTTTCTGTTCTTTGTTTATTTAATTTTTTTAATTTCTGGAAACGTCCATCGTCCATACAAAAAACCAGTGTAGAGATAGTAAAATTGGTTGTCTAGAGGAACATCATTGATAAAATGAAAAATTTATTTTTTTAATAATAAAGTTTAAGCTCATTGTGTCTTTTAGCATGAACACACAGTAATACATGGGTGCTTTTCTTAAGTTGGTTATTGCTTTTAAAATTTCCTTCTTTAGCTTTTGTGTTTAAGCCAGAGAGTAAAAAGTGAATAGAACATCTGTTCTCCAGTACCTTTACTTTGCCACTCTGTTTAAGATATCCTTGACAGCAAAGAGGAAGTTTTTAAGGGCAGTGGCAGTGTGCTTCTTTCTGTGTTTTTTTTCAGGGAACGCTCAAAGGTTTTGATCAGACCATAAACTTGATTTTGGATGAAAGCCATGAACGAGTGTTCAGCTCTTCACAAGGAGTTGAGCAAGTAGTGCTGGGCTTATACATTGTAAGAGGTGATAACGTGTAAGTATAGCCTACTCTCGTTTAAGTCCTTTCATACAGACTTAGTGTGTGATGCACATGTGTTTGTGTGTGTGTATATTTACATATCCGTCATCTGTATAAATCGTGATAGCCCCACACACCTTGCATCTTTGTGGGTAGCACTGAAAGTACTGTCAAAGCTGAAGGTATTTAAAAGATGTGTAGAAGTGACACTTAGGGACATGGCGTAGTGCTGGACTTGGCAGTGTTAGCTTAATGGTTGGACTTGATCTTTCCAAACAGTAGAGTGCGATTCTGTATTAAATAGCAAACATCTACGCTTCTTTTACAGAAGTGATTGCATTGTAATGTTGAGGCTGAAGATGTTCTGAGGGCTGGGGCATCTCTCCTACAAGGACAGGCTGGGAGATGAGATGATGAAGGAAAAGACAGAATAATCACTAAAGCATGAGATAGAACCTTTGTGCAGAATGTCAGAAATCTGGTATACAAAGTTGACTTGAAACAGTTTTGGTTGTTTTTTTTTTTTTTTACTTTAGAGCAGACGTTCACAGAACATCTGCTCTAAAAATCTGGAAAATCCTTGAAGGTTTTGACTTCACAGTGCAGCAAGTGTTGAAGCGAATGTAGTAATGTGTCAAATGTATGAATTGGTATTTGATATAAAATTCCTTTACAAAATGAGGGTGAAAGCTCATTGAGTGCAGAGGGAAGTAGCTGGTGTAGCAAACCCATGGGAGGGTTACAAGGGAAGTGGAAGAAGGCCTGGTAAGTGGGCCAGTTTGGAAGATTACCTTTGCAGCAGCATTGTGAAACCAATGGCAATAGTAAGATTATTTTTTTATCATAGCTGGAAAAAGACTGTGTTGCAGTGACCAACACATGAGTCTGGATAGGAATTTTCATCTTCTAATTCTAATGGATACTTGTGTACAACAAAATGCCAAGGCCTAAATTTCCTAAATGCCTAGGTGCATTTATCTAACATCATTGAGAAAGTGGGTCATTCTGAATACTTCCATCACTTTTGACTTAAACTTTTAAGAAAAAGTAATTTGACACATGTACAAAGGTGGGACTGTGTATGCCACTCTTCCAGTAGCTTTTCATTCAGATAGTAAAAATGGGTGTAAAACAGCAAATAATGGTTTACTACTTCACTGTTTCATCATACAGTTGAAGTGTATGATGAAAGACATCATACAGCCACATTACTCAAATATACTCAGAATATGCTTCTGTTATATATAATAATTTTTGCAGTCTTAACAAATTCAAACATTTATTACAGGTAATAATTATGTATTCATGCAACTCTTTAACATGCTGGAATTCAACGTCCTTATAGGAAGAAGTAAAAAGAATCAACAGCTAAGTAACAGTAACTTCAAAATAGGGGACTCTCATGAAATAGGGAAGCTGTTGAAAAATAAAAGCAAAGAAACAGTACATGGTACAAAGTACTTTGAGCATTCCATGTCCATCACTAGAAGCTTTCATGGAATAAACAGCATCAATCAGAAATTGGTATAGTTCAACAGGAAGTAAGGCTTGTTCAAAGATAAATACAGCTTCTGTTTTAGAACTGTGTGATTTGATTTCAACAAATAATAACCTGATTTTTTTTTTTTTAATTGCAGTGCTGTGATTGGTGAAATTGATGAAGAGACAGATTCTGCTCTTGACTTGGGGAATATTCGAGCAGAACCTTTAAACTCAGTTGTGCACTGAAAAGATAAAAATGCACAGGGACTTTGTAAATCTTTGGTTGTACAGACCTATTTAGCAATGTGGACCGTTTTTACAAATTGTGTTTAATTTGTTTAGTCATCAGTTTTTTATTATGAATATGTTGTAGTTTTGCACGTAAATTAAAGTTTCTACATTTTGCTAAAGATATTTTCATTGAATTTCTTTTGGGATTTTATGCTACATAATTTCACTGGGAAATGCAATCAGTATCAGTGTATATATACCTTGTTCTTAAAATAAGGTCTCATTCCTAAAGGTAAACCAAGGTTTTTTCAAGTTAACCCAGGATTATTTGAAGGTAAATTTGTAACAGTCAGTTTAACCATCTCTGAGTGTAGTTGTGGCTGTATGTAGAAAACTGTTCTTTGTAATTTTTTTTGTGCATGTGTGTATGCAGAAGGGAAGAATGTTAAAAGCTTTCACAGTCAAATTAATGACTTACGCACATAATACTTTTTTTTTTTTTTAATTTTTTTTTTTTTTTTTGTGGTGTCAGACCTTGTACTTCTCCAAGACTCCACTGGAGGGGCAGGAGTTTGTAATGCCTTAATCCTTGCAGACAAATTTGAGAAAGAGACTTTTGAGCAGGAACAAAAAACCCACATGCATGCATTTATTTGAAGGACATGTTAAATTCTGGACCAACTCATTCTGTCTTTACCTTTCAGCAGCTGTCATGTTGCTCATAATTTGGGTAAGACCTACAGAGAGAGAATTGTGTGTTTGCTAATGTGTAACCATTGTCTTAGACTGTAGTTTAGAAGACACAGAGGTACTTTTGGTAGGTAAATTATTATTTTGAAAGAAATTTGCCTCATATTGAATATGAGGATCCCATGTAACAATGATCACATACAGACCTCTTGTCCCAAGCTAAGTGGGACAAGCTCTGTGCGGTATAGTGTGTTTGATGCCATATCAGCATGAAGTCTGTACTCTTGAACAAAGCTGGTTTTGTTATTCTTCATTGTCCCACAGGTCCGGTTTTTTTCCCTTGTATATAAATGTGATGTCAAAACAAACAAAAAAGGAGTTTTAATGTGCATATTAGGAGGTTTTATACTAATTTTAATATTAAGTGGGATTTGGTATTTTTCATTGCAAGTTCACTGTTTGGAAACCAAATACATTGAAGTGAAGATACTTGTTTTCCATAAAATGTGTCTCAATTCTTGTAGCTTCCACCTTGTTTTCTAAGATTGTTCTTGGTGGGGCATGTGAAGCCCAGCAAACCTTTTTTTGCCTTTACCCATCTTTTGATCTAGTACTGTGTTGTGTTCTGTCCACATTTCTACTGGGAACGGCTGAGCAAACATTTAGTAAGTCAAATTAGGGTTTTCATGTGATTACCAGAAGTCAGTACTAACTGTGGCTATAATTGGTTATGTCAAGAGTATCAGTTTCATTAAACAGTCAAGAAAAAAGCCTTATTGCTACTGAAATGCTGATACCTTCACAAGAGAAAAGTATAGGAACTGAATTGTATTGATAAAGAAAAACAGATTATTAAATAAGGTATTTTAGAGCTCAGCAAAAAGTGCAGAGGCAAAGAGTAGAGTCAGGATGAGCAGATTTTCAATGCACTGCTTATTGTTGGATGTATTAGGAGAGTTATGGTTGAAACACATGGATTGAATACTTCTAGTAGCACTGGAAAAACTATGGAAATATGTTGTCTTATAGCTGAGAAATTATGTTTGAAGATTAATCATGGAATGCTAATGCATTTTGGAGACCATCTACCTCAAACACATCATTTGCAGTGGTGAAGGGATCAAAGCCAGGAGACCTAGTCAGAAGGGATTTCTTGAAATCAAATGTAGGACTTGATAATTCTTTTTAAAATTTTAAGATGCTGTTAAAGCTTTGTGAAGTTTCAGGGACTCTAAGCTATAGTGGCTAACTAGGCACCTGTAAGTATATGGTGCAGAGAAATCACTCAGTAAAACAATATTTAATGCATGAAGTTGAATTATAACCAGTCGGAAAGACTCTTTTCATTGAATCAAAACTGTAGCATAGTCTAGGCTAAAAAGCAGATCACCAATGAGAGTAATTTATTTCATTGTCATAAATGAACAAAGATGGGAAAAAACCAATGCAATTGCAACCACAAAGTGGACATAGACTGATGGCCTAATATTAGTGGTTCTGAGGAAAGCTAGAGAGTGTTCGTCCCCAGAGGAAGAGTGGGGTGAAAGCTCAGCACATGTAAAGTCTGTGTATGTGTCTTGTGTCTTCACACTAGAGAAACTCTGCAGTCAGTGTTGCAAGCACATTGAAGGTAGTAAAAAGGTACAAGAGAGCAAATAAAGTAGAGCTGAATTTTTGAGAGGAAAACTTAACTCCTCAGATGCTGAAGAGGTATGAAAGAGGACTGTATGGAGTGAGAAAAGAGCGCCACAGATAATAGTTCTGTGTTGAGCAGGGGAATGTTGATTGCTGTGTTGCCAGCTCGCTGGGTTGAAGGTTCTCCTGTTTAACACTGATTGCAGAAGTGTAGCAAAGCAAATTTCTCCTGGGAGATAAGTAGTATTGTCTGCTAAAAGCCTTTATTTTATTCTTCCTGGAGAGGAAAGTACTCTTAACAAAAAAAGTAACTGTCTTTCTGGAACTGAAGGTGCCCCTTAAGAGTTCTGATTGCTGGTGCTTTATGACTGTCAGCTGGCTCCATGGGGTACGTGAAGAGCCCTGCTGAGATCATGAACATTTTTTTCCTGAAACTGTCTTCCTGCAATGAGCCTAGATTAAATATTCAGTAAATAAGAGGTGATATTCAATAAAATCCAGTGAGTCCTTGCAGATGAATAAGCATACTGTACAAAAATGAGAAGGGCAGAGAAAGGTGATACTAAGGCCAAAAGGAAGTAATGCTGAATTGGAGGTAATTGTCGTATGCCATTAAATTTCCTGCATTGTCATAGGCTGGTCAGTTCCTCCTTTTGTTTGGTTAGTAGAGATCTTGGAGTGAAAGGACAACTCTTGACTAGTAGTGGAAAAATCCTCCAGTGAAATGAATGAGCTGGTTTATGAAGAGATTAAGTAAATTAATTTGGTGTGCATGAAGAAACACAGAAACTACCTTCTGTGCTCCAAGGGCAATTTCTCTTAACTGCAATCCACATTAAATTTACCTCCCTGTCCCTTTCACATACTTGCAATCAAAGTGCTTCAAATATTGCATGGCCTACAGGCAGGTTACTGGCTGTACTGGATTGAAAGAACAGGGATACTCTTTTGAGGATGTAATCCCACAGTAGACAATTTCTGTAAAACTTGACCTTTCCTATCAGCTATAGCCTGTTGTCCTTAGCCCTGGAGTGTTTGTTCTTCAATCCATTTTAGAAGTAAACAGCTGAGATACACATCAAACACTCAGTGCTAGAACTGAAGATGATGTGCAGGTTGATGGTATTTTACTCATGGCCATGGCCATACTACTTTCACAGGAGATGTACCAGATCTGTGTGCCTGAATAGGTGTTTTGTACCCGTGGCAACACAATTCTACCGAGTAGCCTCTGCTGCATGCTGCTGCATTCTGCTGAGAATATTATTCTGGAGATTAATATAGAAATTATCCTTAAATACCAGGGTTGTGTTCTCCATGCATTGGTATGAAAGGATTTAATTTATTCCATTGTTAACATGACAATTACTAAGTCATGTGCTGTTCCTTTAGGGATTAAATTACAATGACCACAACAGCACTTCTCCAGAAGGACAAGCCTCAGTTGAAGAGACTTGGAAACTGAATGTGAGTTAATGCCAGTTAGAGCACCAAGGTGTGTTTGCTAGTTATATTTGGTCTATGATACATTTGTGGCACCTGTGTATGCTAGTCTACTAATTTTTACTAATGGATTTTTATTTCTGCTTTCCAATTGAGAGAACTTCAGTTTATTGATAAGAATACTGAAAGTAATTCTGTGGATTAAGTGGAACTTGAAGTAGCCAGAAAAATTGTATCATACCAATTAGTTTTAACTTCTCTGTTGCTTAAATAATAAGGCATTATAACTTCAAGTATCAGGTATTCATGGACAAATAACTATGAAACCCAGATATGCCGGAAGTTCAAGATTACTGAGGTGAGGGAGGGAAAGTGTATACCAGACCTAGGTCAAAAACACATGACAGAGATAGTAAAGAGCCAGGTATTCGTTCTGGAAATCCTGTTTCTGATGGCCTCTCTCAGAGTGCTATATTTTTCCTGAATCCTTTTCAGGGGCCTTTTTTTTTTACTGTAATTTTTACAGTAATGGCCGAAATGTGATATTTCTTACATCAGTAGCATTTTCCCTGAAGAAAATAAAAAGCTTCACTGACGCAGGTGAAAACCAAACCTGAAAACACAATAGCATTCAGACTTTTGCCAAAACCTGCTTACTAGCCATAAAAGCAGGACTTATCTACTTGTTAATGTTCCTTCCTGGAGCATTGCAGCACGTTCCAGGAGCTCTGGAACTTGCTTGGAACAATGTGCTGCTGCCGTTCAGCCTTACATCACTAACAGTGCCACCGGATGCCAAAAAATTTCACTCAGTGCTCAACTTCTTTCCGGCTCCTTGCACTTTTAGATGAAAGGCTTTCATTGCTTTAGAGAGGACAAGCACATGTGCATGTACTGCTTTTGTCTGCTAAAACCTCTTTAATGGCTTTCCTGCCATCTTGTTTTATACTCTAGGTTTATTTTATCTTTAGTGTTGAATCCAGCAGTGATGATTACAGTGCTTTGTGTAGAAATGTGACTGGAAATTATTCAGTGGAGAAATTGAAGAAGTTGCACCTGGAGTACTCTAATGCATAAAAAGTAGAAATAACTAGGATGAAAATCTGTTGCATGTGAACAAAGTTGGGCTTTACATCAGTGGTCATTGTAGTGAAATTCACTTAAACACAGGTACAGTTATTGTATCTGTATAAATCATCTTATAAGAAATACTGAGAAATTGTGAGAAAACATTTTCTACACAGAAATTTTTTAAGGCACTGGAGTTTCATATGGAAGCGTCCTATCCTAAAATCTTACTTTTTAATTATGGTTATTGGCTTGTATTTTTATGCTTAAGTTTTTGGTAATTCTTACTTGTGTAATTTTCAACACTGTTTATGATGCAGATGGAAACCTGTATGCACATAAATGCTGCCATGTTTCTGCAGATTGGCCAGAGCTGCTGGTGATGTATGGCTGGGGTCTGCAGCATTCACACTGATGAACATGTGTGTGATGTAGAGACCTTGGATACAGGGGACAGGTTGTCAAGCTTGTATTCCAAGCCGTGTGCATGCAAAAGACCAAGACAAAACATGCACCCCCCCCCAGCTATCTATAATAATTTCAAATTTGGTTTGTAGCATTTACAGTTAATAAAACCATTTCTTGCCAACTGCCATGCAAATACCACCTCATCTGTACCATTTCATGCATACAGACGAAATGTACAGTTCTGCTTTGCACTGAGTTACAAGATTGAACAGAAGCCAAGGCAGGAAGTGATTATGGCTAAGGAGCTGGTGCTGATTGAAAATGTGTGATGCTGTGGAGGAAACATCAGACAATAGAACCTCAGTCAGTTTGGAAACAGATTTAAAAAACAGCACGTTAGGATGTAAACAGTCAATAGGACTGGGGCCAGCCTTTCTCCTAACAATCATATCATTAGTGGTAGGAGCGTGCAGAATGATTTTCGTGATTAAGGTGCAAGTGCAAAATCCATGAACGTGTGCGCTCATCAGTGCTGAACGGAAGCAGCCTTCTTGCTTTCTGCTGTGTTTCTTCTACAGGTTGTCCTAACTCATCCTGGATACAAGAGTCAGGCATAAATGCAGTTCAAATCTAGGAAGTGCAAATGGTCAAGGACTTTGAAAAGAAAGACTTAAGATTATTTTGTGTAACTGTAATAAGGTAGGATCACTCTCGAATTGCACTTCTGATTTTCAAGACAGCTTCTGTGAAAAGTCATCAGCTCCCATTCAATTAAAATTGTCAGGATGCAAGTGGAATCAGTCTCTGATAAGAAATGGAACAGAGCGATTGTTATAATTTAAGTGATGATCATTATGTGGCTGAAGGGGACAGCTTCCTGATTTGTCTAGAGACTAGTTTAACTTCTTGCATCATTTATAACATCCATGAAGTAATTTTGCGTTTTATGCTACAACTTCTGATTTCACCATTTTATGGAAGTCCAGCCAAATGCAGAAAGGAGTAAGAAAGGCAAACATTAATATGTTTGTATGTATCCATTTCATTTATGGATAAGACATGTACAGTGTTTTATAACTACATTGTATGTGTCAATAGTTTGAGTTTGGTTCTAATTATGCTTTTTCTGAATTTCAACAGCAAAGTGCAGATGGCAGCAAAATGGTCCTTAGCTGAAAGGGAATTACCAGGCTACCCTACTGTTAATGCCTGCCACTCTTCAACACACAGGAATGCCTGAGCAATGCCTTCCATCTTCTTGGGTCTTTAAGCAGTACACATTTGCCTGGCCTCTGGCTGTTAAGATCTGACCAGTCATTAAAATTATTAGAGACAAGCGTCTGCCCGACTAAAGGTGCAAGAGAGACCATATGCCAAAGGCATTAGTCCCGCTTTTTATTTAACAGTAAATGTGAGGTAGAGAGAGATAGGAAAAAGAGGAGGAGGAGAGGGAGAGAAGGGAGAAAGAGAGACTGAGAAGCAGAATAAACATCAGAAGTATCACCACCCCACAGGCTCCAATGACAGCCTGTTGGTTCTCGTCGTGTTGGTGGTTGCAGTCCTGTTGATGTGGTTGCAGACTGTATCCATCAGGTGGGGAGGACAGAGCCCACAAAACTCCAAGTGCATGGGGTTTGTGTTAGCTGAGGCTAGGTGGAAAGGCCCCTGTAATTCCCCTGGATGATGCAGTACTGGATCATGGGACATTTCATGAGTCATTGACATCTTCTAAGGTGTTGCAGCTGTCTCTTACCCATTATAGCTCAATTAATCATGGCCCATCAGCCCAGATAAATACCTTCAGCTCATGGTACGACAGAAGGGAGTTCTCACAGCTGAGCCATTATCTAAGGGAAGATATTGGCATGGTAAGAAGGACTATCCCCCTTTGCAGGATTTGCCTCTTACCAGCCTCTTCCCTTACCTGGAAACCCAGTTTGTAGCCTCAGGAGTGCACACCCACCTGCACTGGGGAGGCCACTCTGTGCATCACTGACCAAGCACCCAGCTGATTGTTTGAGCCAGTGCAGTCTCTTGCAGCACCTGGGCAGTAACTGCAAATGGCTGAGTGTTTGAGTCATTCATCTGCAGCAGGCCAGTCTCTTCCAGGAGAACAGGCAAGGTGCAGCTGTGAGCACTGGAGAGTTCTGTGAGCAGGGAAGGGGTGGAAAGCAGTGTCAAGAAGAGGAACAATAAAACAAAGCCATGTTCTAGACTGTAAAGTTTATTAAATATCAAGTTAAATTAAATACAGTGTAATAGCATCACAAAAATATATTCATATAAAAAGGAAGAGTGTTACAGCAGCATTTAATGCTTTTCTCACTATCTGTTAACTCAAGTCCTTAAAATAGTGGGTAAAACCTTCAAATTCTTTCACTCTTGATTAATCTCAGTACAATTATTCTTACTTTTCCAGAACTGGGACTTGGTTCTATACTCTGTGGTTGACTTTTGCAGATGGGAAATGACAACACACATCCTAATTAAAAACCAGTAACTCCCTGAAATAAGTAAAACTGCTTATATGGTTGCTATCAGTTTTCCACCACATTTTTGCTACAGACACCCTATCATCAGCTGCTAGCAGCAACAAAAAGACTGAGGATCCTATCACGCAAGTTCTGGAGAGTACTGAGGAGTGTTGATGATATTAATGTTCCTTTTCTACCCCTCCCACTGAAAGTGTTTTCAGGTGTACCGTAAGTGTTTAAGCAAGAGCTGCAAAAGTCTGAAGCTGCAGCAAGTTTTAATACAGAAATCAACACCAATACCATGAGAGGTACTGAGTTTAAATATTCCTCATGATATTCAAGTGTATTGTGACAGTGACTGATCATGAGGCCAGGTTGCCTATGGAGGCTTTGGAGTCTCCATTTTTTTAAGTAATTAAAAAATCAACACATATCTGGGAAACTAGCTAAAGATGGTAGTCCTGGAGCAGGAGGGCTAGAACAAATAGCCTCCAGAGGTCTCTTCCAACTTCACTCATTCTGTGATACAAAATAAAAATACCAAAAAGACCATAAAACAAGTCTTGGCACTACTACACAGTCACAGTAATTTTAAACTTATGTTGCATAAAGTGACAACAATGCAAAGTGCCCTTTTCTCCAGCTTGGACACCACTCTAAGTTAATTAGCAGAACTTAGTACTGCATCAGGATTGAAGCATTGGGCTCTAAGAACATCAAATGATGTCCTAAACATTGAAATAACACTGGAGAACTTACAAACACATTGAGTGAAAGGATTAAACAGAACAAAGGGAATGCTTTTGTTAAAACACAGAACATGAATAATGTAACATAATGAAGCTACTATAAGAGGAAACATTTCTGACAGTTTTGTCAAGTTCAAGAACCCAAATCAGTCAATCTGCTGGTCAGAAAAAACAGATGTGGTTCTTACTGTGAGTGCAAAAGAAGCCAGCTATGCAGAAAAATCCCAACAGATGAGTGCACTGTGCTGGACATCCATTTAGTAGAGTTTATATTCAGACTGCAATGAACAAGTTTTTACATCTGAACTGGGGAGAAGGGAAACCATAGATGTGCTTTCTACAAAAGCAAAAAATGTTCAGAGCCTTCCACAGCGTTTCATTCAAATCATGTAATTTTTGGTTAAAACATCACGGTACTCCTCTATTGCTCTGCAAAGGGGATCCTGGTCCACATGAAGGTTTTTGGAAGATCCAGCACACTCAGTTTCAAGATCAGCAGTGGCTGAGGGAAAACGACACAAGATTCCTTATGTTACTTCTACAGCAGACAGGGAGAAATAAGACACTGTAAGAAGATTTTACATAGCCTGACAGTCTGCAAATCTGAACGTGACTTGAAAATTTCCAAAGACACCTAACAAGGGACAAGCTGGGCAAATAGGCAGAAACATATTTTGTGCACATGTGCTTATCAGTCAACAGGATTTCTAAAGCTAGTGACAGACATTCCAAAGGCTACACACTGAACAGCTTGTGGGACTCCACAGACTCCAGGGGCCCTTAACAGTGCTTCTTCATGTAGCCCTTTGCAGAGCTCTTCAACCTGAAGTCTTAGCTTTCCTTAAACATTCAAAGCCGTGCTTTATTGCAACACTACAACTACACAGCTGCAGTCCCTGCAAAGCAGAGACTCTGGAGGACCAACTGTCATGAAGCAAGTGGATTTCCTCTTTGGACGCCTGGCCTCTAGTTACAGAGCGTGTTTTATGCTCCATGTTGTGAGCATTGAACTCATGTTTGCCTAAGCACTACTGAACGATCTCTTCCCAAAGAAATGTTGTCTTTTATCCCTGATCATGTTCTTCTACTTTTTCAAAACAAGACTGACTGCAACACCTAAGCTACCAAGACAAACCATGAATCCTAGCAAGAAAAATCAAGATCTAACAGCAGAGAATATGTAGGGTATGGTTTAGTACTGAATGCAACCCATGTACAGGGAGGAAAGGGATGGCTAAAATCTATAAAGATCTATAAAAATCTGGGGGCTTCTTTGATGTTTTTGCTTGCTATTAACTCTAGTGAATAGCAACTTCATCCTAAGCTGAGTGTTTCTGTGTGGAGCAGTGGATGAATTTTCTTTTTGCTTGTTTCTTTCTAGGCAAGTGCATAACATTCTATGCCGTATTTTGGGAAGCAGGAATTTTTTACATTCAAGTCTAAACTGGAGAGCTTGCAGAAAAAAACCTCTTTTCTTAGAAGAAGAAGTTGAAAACAATGGCTTGAAAGACATCAAGACTTAGAAATGGACACCTTTTTCCTTAATAACACTCCAAATGTAATGACACATTACCTTCTTTCAGTTCCTTAGTGATTTTTTCATCCAGTTCCTGTCGTACCTAGAATTATTCATCAAATATACAGTTAAGACATAATATCCATAATATGACCCAAATGTAACTGCTAAAACTCCTAAAATATTCTTACACCCCACGGACAAAGTGATAAAACCTAAAAATATCATCCCAAATGGAGATGATGGCCTGTGATGGCCAAGAAGATGCCCAAGGCCCTGGACCACATGAGCTATGTGGAAAGGCTGAGAGAGCTGTGACTGTTTCTTTCCTGGAGTAGACAAAGCTTAGGCGACCTTGTCTGTGTGTATTAACTACCAGGGGTGTGGAGTAACAGAGATGCAGCCAAACTCTTCTCAGTGGTAGCAAAAGAACAACTCCCCCAAGCCTCAAGTTTTTTTCAAGCTTGGAAATAAAGCAAACACATGGATTTCTCTGAAAAGGAAGGGAAAGGCCTTTGAATAAAAATACACCTTTGAGAACTGACAATGTCTCCACTGTCCTCCTGCCCCCTGTGGAGAAGGCATGAAGTACCAAGGACTGAACAAGAGGCCCTAATGAGGCCTGAACAGTAGGCCTGGAGCCAAAGTTGATTTTAGATGAACCTTCCAACAAAATGTTATCTATATATATCTGCTCATTAGCAAAGTATTGTTATATGTGTGCATTTATTGGCAGAACATGCATTTACCTTTCTGCATCTAGAAACGAGATGAGGCCACATCTGGCCTCACCAAGGGGGTATAGGATGAAAGACAACTCCCTTGATTCCTCCTTGAGCCCTGGCCAGGCTCTGGGAGAATGCCAGCAGGTGAATGAAATTACACATTATGTCAGCTTGTTTGTTTAACAGTATAAAAGCTGGGCTATTTTCACAGCAAAGCTGGGGGAGCCTGGTGGCCTGTAAGGTGGATGCACCACAGGAGTTCCCAGTTACCTTGGTTCTCCAGTCTTTCACTGTGACACCTTCCCCTGACAGCTGAGGTGTCTCAGACTTGGATTATGGAAAAGTACTGCAGTAACTGGTGATGCATCTTTCTTTACCCCTATAGGCAATTCCTTCATAGTAATCATTAGGTACATTGCTTAGCCTGTCCTTTATAATTCTCTGCTAATGATTATATGCTTTGTTAGCTTAGCATATCCTTCCAGAATTCACTGCAGTTTTACATTATAGTAAATTCCACTATTCCTTAAGTCGGTGTCTGTGTCCTGAGCAGGTACCTCTCACTGCTTATAGCTCTTCAGGCAGTAACATACTGGGTCACTTGCAGCATTCACCATCTCAGTAATTCTGTTTCAGGAGGTGATGTTGACTTACTACTTACCCACGGAGCTCCTTGAGCACAGAGTAAGCTGGATCCTCCAAGACTCCATGAGATGATACTCAGGGTCTAGGAACTCAACTTCAGAGCAGTACTGCTACTGCACACACAACTGCTGTTGCTACCCAGAACTTTCTGACTGTCAGAACAGGTAAGGGCGGTAAAGAGCCTTCCCCTCTAGTTTAACCAAGTTCCATCAGAAGAGGTGAAATCCATACATACGGAGTCATCTTACAGAAGCTGAACTACCACAGAAGCCATAACTTGACCAAGACATAAAGCACAGAACTACTCAGCAGCAAGTCACTCTTTTACTCAAGAGAAACCAGCAACTTCAAAGTGTCTCCAGCTTTAGGCCAATGTGAATGCATCAGTAAGTTTGAATCAAACCTAGCAGCATAAATAGACAAAACATTTGCAATAGCACCCAAGGTTAAACAGTACAGGCTACAAACCTTGTCATATATCTGGCTGCAGAGAAGAGAGAGAAGATTTTTGATTAAGGATCTGGAGAAAGAAAAACAGCCTTAAGTTCAAAGGTTTTCAGTGAGACACAAGAACATGGCCTACATGTACAGGAGGCAAGGAAAAAAGCTCACAATGGAAAGACCACTAAAATACAAGAAGGCATTTGGAAAATGAAACCAGAAAAGGAACAGAAGTTGAGAGAGAGCGTAGGGAGCTGACATTCCCTTTCTCACATTATGTAAGGAAACTGGTTTCATAAATCCACCAATTCACACTGGTTGCAGCTAGCAGAGTTCACTATTCTTTTCTACATCAAGACACCCATATTCATTTGCAGCAGCCTTTGGTACAGTTGTTAGGATGGAAGCTTGACAGTTTGTAAATGCAACAATTTATATTTTTTGGGCCTTGAGTCCCAAAATTTTCTTGCAATACTTGTAGCAAGCAGACAGACATTCTCTGCCTTGGGCTATGCACTACATTTCCGAATTCTGGTACACAGATCACTAACAGTACTTCCTATTTATGACTCAGAGAGGGGAGACCAGGTTTTAAGACTTTGCTGAACACACTGAACATTGAGGTACTTGAGGCAACAGGTGGTGCCATGACAGTCTCAGTAGTTCCCTAATTGGAGATTTCAGGAAGACTTATCACAACAGAATGTGCAGCTCAATTTAGTATGAAGGCAGATATATTCACAGCAGGAAATCTGAGTCCCAGACACCACCCTACTGCTTTCATTGAGAGAAATTTGGCATGCTGAGATTTCCATCTTTCTCTTAAAAGAACTTGGTTGAAATCGTAAGAAATAGATAAGTTTTCTGTGGTATAGCAGTTGTTTGACTCACCCTTATTCAAGGAATAAAACTTCAGAATTTGATACAGTATAAGAGCTCAAAGGGAATCTTAAGAAGACAAACTGTGTATAGCGAGAGTGAATTATCTGCAGCTCCTCTGGTGACAACAACCATAGGTTGTGATCAAGAGCAGAGAGAACTTCAAAGTCCTACGAACAAAACTGCACTAGGAAGAAAAAATGTGAGTATAGAAGAAAGTCCCCAAATTAAGAAGAAAATACTGGAAATCAGAAACTGAAGACTTGGAAAATGTCATACATAATTGTTCAACAACTTCCTTGAGAGTATGCTCAAAGCTGTGAGACACATTCTCTGGAAAGAAACTCCATGGGTGCTCTTGAAGTCAGGACACTGAGAGGGAACAGTATCACCATTCTCAGATCTAATGCAGACTTGTCTTGGAATCAGCTCAAATATTTTTCATGAATGCATTTGGAAGCATTTTTCAAAAAAAACATTCAAGAGGTCTACACAGCAGTTTGAACTATACATTGTATTTATTAGCAGCTGTATAAAACAATGAACTACGAAATAGCCTGAAGAAATATTTAATTTCTGTAATTAAACTTCCCTACTTAGGGGAAGGCAGCAAACCCATGAACGTGTCTATCTTGATACTGACAAAACTTTTTTTTTGCCTAGCAGAGGAATGGTTTCCTTTTTTGCCTTTTTTTTAATGTCTTGCTCCCATCTCTCTGTCCTTTCTTTCCCTCTCTTGTTCTGTGCTCCCTACCCCTCCTGGTCTCCTCTTTATTTCCCTTTCACAGTGGGTCCTGCAATTTTCCTTCCCTTCTAGTGCTTGTATGCAGAATAGCACCTGCAGATGATACAGTACTAACGACTTCATGAGCTCTTCCAGTAATGTCTGTCCACCTCTGCCCTCAAAAGAGTGTTCACAGCTACACAGAGAAGGTCATCTCTGGAACTGCCACAGCTATGCATTTCCAGTGCTGCTTTGGTCCCATCTGTTCTCTTGGCTTGTTTTTGTAGAACAGGTGCTCTATGTAGACAAATGGTTTAAATGGGTTCTTTCCAATGTGGGGGGACCATCAAACCAAGAAGGACTTAAAAGTGAAGAAATACTTGTCACATTCCCTTGACAACAGAATACAATGACTCAACAGACAAGCTCAGCCATGTTAAGTGGGTCTCTCAGTGATTACAACTATTGGTGTGGGGTTTTCATGGCATAATGTTCAGCCTTCTGTGAGGGATGTGCTATAACAGTGACTGATAATTACAGGGCATATTTGGACCAGAGGCATTGCAGAGGTTGCAGCATTGCTATAAAATCAGAAAGCTGTGAAGACTTGCCAAAGAGTAGGTAATTTTACCATTTCATGAAATAACACATAGCAGGAACTACAAGAACAAATGTCTCCTACGCTTAGTATGTATTCTGCAGTGAAGTGTAAGAGCAAAGTTATGCCATCCCATTAATATCATCCTACTTTTGAAGCATCCTTTTGTTGGTATTAACATACTAATGCAAGTTCTGTGAAGAAACTGCTGAAGTGAAGATCAAGGAAGAAGAAAAAAGTGTCTCAGAGATGTCTGATTGGATTTATCACTCAATGTGATGTTAGCCACTTTAAACAGGTTAGCCATACCATACACTGGAATTTCATTAGGAGCTTAGCTGGGAGCTCCCTATGCCACAGTACTCCATGTCACAGTTTCTCTTGTAAAAGAATGTCATGGCCAGTGCACTGCTTTGACTTAAATATTTTACAGCCTTTACCCTCTTGAAAATTTTTACAACTCTGATGACCAAAAATCTTCAGCCTTACAATGTACAACTGTGCACTGTTCTGAGGATTAGCAGTTGCTTTGGCGTATTACACAATATGGCATGGAACAATAAATGCATTGTAACTTCAGGCTAAAAGGGAGAACCTTGCATATGGCTACTCTTCAGCAGGAGTTGAGAATGGTATTTCAAAATGCTTACCTTGGCCACAAAGGCTGCAACCCTGTTTCTCGAGGATAATGTGTTCTCAGCTGGGGTGAGGAAGCTTCCTCCTAGACTGAGACTTCTGCTCAGTCCCAAATTGTTGCCAAGATGTCCAAGTGCAGTTGAATACAGAACTGGAGTTGCAGCCAGACCTCCGCTGACAATGCTGCTGGTGATTAACGATTTGCTTTTATGGCGCTCCCGGAGGAGCTTAGCATTGGCTTCTTCAAGTCTCTCATTAGCTCTGAAACATTTGGAAGCACACAAACAGTTACCTTTGGTTACTACCTTTGTTAGCAGCACTTCCCAAAGTTGCTCTCCAGGTCCTTGACTATTATTTGACTTCTGAGATGAAGAACCTCCAAAAGTAGTACATCATTTGACCTGAGCTTGTTTGGAGGTCTTGTTTCTAAGACGTCGCACTAGGTGCAAGGAGCAGCATCACCAACGTTTAGAAGTGCTCAGCATGTCAAAGCCTTCTGTGAAAGCCATGTGTTTACACAGCTTCTTCTGGGAGGTACATCAACTCTGTAACAACTCTGGGCTGGATCCCTTTGCCAAGGAAAGCTCAAAGCTCAGAGCCACTGCTTGAACAGAAGCCAAAAAAGATAATTTATATTTTTCCTTCACAGAACAGAAATCTGTTCTCTGAGAGGCCTACCCTTATTCAAACAATAAAGGACATAAAATTCATTTTTTCTGTTGTACAGAGGATGAGACTATAGAGACTGGCAAAAAAAGCTGCCAGTTAAAACAACATCAACTTGAAAAGCCTCCCATTAATGCCATGATCACACTAAAGAGAAATGAAGGCCTGCTAAACGGGAAGGGTCTTACAGTACTTTTCCCACAAACATGTCATCATAGGCTTTCAATGCTGGCCAGATGTAGAAGAGCAATTAACAAGAAATGTGCATGAAGAAAAAGGAGTCTCTTACTACCAGTCCAAAAAAAGCATAGACTTACCTTTCCAGTTTCTTTGCTAGGCATCGTCTTGTTTTCACTTCCTCCTGATACAGCTCCTTGTACTTTTCCACTTCTGCCTGTACACATTCTTTTGGAAAAGTACTGTCTTGTTGAGTATTTTTTATCTTGTCCAATTCACATTCAAGATCTCTAATTCTGTCTTTTAGCTGGTTTCTCAGAGAAGCATGATGACTTGCTCTGATGTTTTCTAGTCTGTCCTGGGAGGCTGCCTGTGCCTGAAGGAGACAGTGTACCTTCAACCACCACAAAGAAAAAGAGAACTCTCCCCACCTGTCAATTGCATGTACCCAAGGTCATGGGCCCAGCTTGGCTCACAGAGGCAGCTGTGCCTCTTCACTAGCATCAGCAATCAAGGCAGAACCCTGAAGCTACCACCAGGGTAAATAATTCTTTTCACTCAGGATGAAGCCCAAACCAGTACCACTATTCAAAGCTACTAATGAAAGGGCATTATGTCTATAGGACAGGGCATGGAGAACAGGATTCCTCAAAGACCTTAACAGGATGCCTCACCTCCTCCCCGTCTCCACATCTGCAACTTCAGTCACTTGTTTTCTGAGCACTCTCCCGTGTGCAAGGACAAAACCGGACCTGTAGGTCTGGCTGTGACAGCTGGAAGGTGCAACACCTCTTCAAGCATCAACAGTGAGAAGCAGACCAGTGGACAGGGACAGCCCCAAGCACTGCAAAATGGAAACCTACCTTGGGCAAGCTTTTGATTTAGGGACCTGCTGGCACATTACACATCCTAAGAGCACTCCTGCCCAACCATATGCCCATCTCCCACTTTCCTTTGGCACAGATACTAACACACACACATACAAGCACAACGCTAACACACAGAATCGGCCACCCAAAGCAAAACACTAAAAAATGGTGACCACAACCAAAGTCTACAGAGTGCTTACAGACATATGTCAGAAAGTCACTCACTTGCAAAAACAAATTGACTTCTTGTAGTTTTTGTCTTATTTCTTGGCCTGCTCGTTCATCAACCTCTCTTTTATACTGTTCTATTTGGCTGTGATCCACCATGTTAGTCTCCAAGTGATGTTGGAGTTTTGCCACTTCTTCTTTCAGCTGGCATTTGCTCTTCTCCAGTTTTTCACAGTTCCCATGCAGAGTAGATAGCTCTTCTCGCAATTCCCGGTTTTGGGCTTCTAGCTGCATGCTTTTTTTAGACTCCATGTCCAGCTGCTGGGAAAGTTCAGCAACCTGTATATGGGAAAAAAAAAAAAAAGAAACTTAGAGGCATTTAAAGGCAGTGAATTCTGTTAAAATTGCTAAAGGGGTTGTCCATGGAGACTGTATTTATCATCTGCATACTCAGCCCTGACCTCGCCCATGGACATGACGTCCTGGTAGGACAGCAGAACTGCCCATCCCTAAGGCCTGCCCTGAGGATCTGCTCTCTTGGCTGACCCTGCCTGCTGTCACCAGGCCAGTTCTGTTCTTCTTGGTGAGCGCCTGTGGGACGGCTCCATGGACCATGAGGTCATGGACCCTGCCAGCCTTGCTGCCACTCTTGGCTTGTCCTTCCTCTGCATGACAGTCTGCCCTTCTGGTGCCATTGCAGATGCTGCTTTGCACATACATCTTTACCCATAAGGACAACTAGTATTAGTATAGTGACCTGCTTCTCTAACAGTAGAGAAACCATTGAGAGAGACAAATCAAATCAAAAATACAGCCAAGGAAAACAAATCATCAACATGATGAGAAATACAGGCAAAGCTTCACACAGGTTTGAAAAGAAGTAACACCACAACCAAACAAACCCCAAATTAAGCAGAGCTCACCTTTGTTCTCAATCTATCAACTTCACTGACCATTTCAGAATATCTGCTCTTCATTTCTCCCTTCAAATTAAGCTGTGACTCCATTTCTCTCTCCTCATACACCTTTATTTTCTTTGTAGCTCTATTGAGAAGTCTCTTCAACCTAAATAGCAAATCAGTTCAGAAAACAATGAAACACAGGAATAAGCAACCTTTTCCATATGCTCTCCAGTAAGGCATGCAGAAATAGCTTTCTTCATCTTTAACATACTTGAAAGTACCAGGAATTGAGGATAAAAAACCTGCTCTTCCTGTGCCACAAATCACCTGGCACATCCAAATTTCAGCTGAAGAGATGAACTGAAGACCTTCCCCACCCCCGGAGAACTGCAGTGCAACCTGGACTGGCAATTCCTCTTGCAGCTATAAGTAAGTATAAGCTCATGCACAGAGGTACCTTGCAGGAATTAACATGAGACTTCAGTTTGCTCGCAGAGTATGTATACTTGTTCTGACATTACAGCTCAATAAAACTGGACTTCTATTCAGGGATATCTCTTCACCATATGAAAAAACCATACCTCTTAAAGTCTTTCTGCAATTCTAAGTTTTGTCTCATTTCTTGGTCCAGACGGAGTTCAACTGGGCGTTTTAACTCTATCAGTTTCTTCACTTTCTTTCTTTCACTCTCACACTTTCAAAACAGAAAAGACACATGACACACACAACACGTAAGAACAATAGCTACGTCCAACGCGTCTCTAGTGCTCTCCAGGGAGAAGCTGCAATCCATCTCTGCTAACCAAGTTACATGTTATGTTTCAGAGCAAACTGGGCCAATATTGAAGGACAAAAAGACATGCCTCCACTGAAACAAAGGTGGAGAAGATATTGGACTACTTTCAAGAGTTCTCAACTCATAGTAAGGATTATTTAGGTATGCTTATCATGGGAGAATACAAATTAATCTAAAGCTTTTACAGGATCTTTATTGATAAGCAGGCAGAGGAATTTGATCTTTGGGAATTTTTTCAATATACTATTCCCTTCCACCCCTTCTTTGTGGCTACTTGTGCTAGTTGCTTTGTACTTCCTTTATTCCTCTACAGATAAAGAGGGAAAGACTGCCCCATTGCAACTGTCAGTCATTTCTGGTTTCCCAAGCACTAGGTTCATTTCCCCAAAATTCCTTCACTGTGTTTTTCTGCAAGGCTTTTAAGCATCCAAAACCCTGAAAACATGCTGCTACTCCTCCCTGAACTGCACTGGAAAAATGAAATACTTCAACCCTGCCCAGAAAACAAGGGGTCAGAAGATGGCCAGAAGGAATCCAAGAAAGACCTGGGGAACTGAAGCCCTGCTTGATGTGCTCAACTGATGCAAACCACAATGGGAACTCTTTCAAAGAGAATCACTCCAGAAATTACACAAGATACCCAGACAGCTTTCATTTGCTTCCTGGATGATCCACAAATCACAACATATCCAGAGCCTGAATGGCAGGGGTAATAAAAAAATGCTCTTTATCTAAGAACTTGACCAAAAGGTTAATGTGGCTCTTTCAGGTACTGGCTTAGGTCTCTGGAGAATGTTCTAGATTTACCTGTTCAAAAAGGTCTGCCTTTTCCCTGTCAAGTTGAGCAACACGCTCTTCAAGGTTAGATCTTGACTTAAACTGCTCTTCCCACATGCTCTGCAAGTCCTTTGATGTCAGAGCCAGCATATTCTGCTTTTGCACCTGTAAAAGCAGCAATGGCAGAAGAAGAAACTAAGGTGACTAAGAAAACACTGGAACAGAAAGCTGTAACTTAAATGGAAACTCTCTCCTCTCCCCATCCAATATCTATGGTTAATGTTAATGTGCAATGTAAAACACAGCTTGGGAAACATAACCAAGAAGAGAAACTGAAGATGGTAAAAAGAATGAATGCTATAGGGGTGGTTAGATGAGGTTGAACTTTGGGGAATAACAAACACACACAAAATCACCCTGTAGCTTTCTTCCAAAGGTTCTCTGGAGTTCATTACATACTTTCTAATACAGTCTTCTCTAGTGCCCACCACAGAATATACCCTACCCTCATGGCTTCTGTGACAGCTGTATATCTCCTGAGAGCAAGAAAATGTTTTGAAATTGACAATGGCATTGATGGTTCTATCTAAAGAGACAAAGATTTGCCTAACGGATGCATTTGAGTTGAATACAACTTGCTGACTCAGTTCAGGTATAAAGACTGGAAGTTGGCTAGATGCTTTTAGTGGCATTTTTAAGGGGAAAAACAAAGAAAACTACAAAAGCAAAAAAGGAGTAAACAAGAGATGTTTACTGGCTACAGAAAGTGACAAAACACTTAACACAGAGTCGCAGGTAAAAAAAATCCTTAGGGAGTATGACTTTCCTCATAGAGGAGATAAAACACTGGGTCTCACAAAAAACCCGGACACGGCCTCAAGACAAGCTCTGACAAAATCACACAGAAAAGATGGATCTGTAAAGTCTGCTCTCCTCTCTCAGCTTTCAACCATAGATCTCCATGCTGTCCACAACATGCACTTTATCAGTCATCTGCTATGGCTTAACCCTGGTAGGCAGCTAAGCATTTCACAGCCACTGGCTCACTCCCTGCAGGTGGGATGGAGAAGAGTATTCACCAGATGAATCACAATGATGAACACAACTGTCTTGCACACCACAACACATACAAAACACAGAAGCAGAAAAATGAGGAAACTTACAGCCTTTTCCCTTGAGGGTACCTTGCCCTAAAACCAGATGGGTATTTAACAGCTGTGTGCTTACACAGCCCACATGATCTTTTCATCAATTACCTATACACAAAAAATTCAAAGACTAAAACAGTTGTTCACAGAAGCCTGCCATGTACCTGCTTGTGGTGGTCCTCTGCAGCTGCCTGTGCTGTCTGTAAGCTCATTATCAAGTCTTCCAGGCGGTTATGAACCTATAGAAGCATTGCAAGAAGCAAGAAGGCACACTATCAATTTCTAGACTGAAGTTACACCTCACTGACAAAAGTATGACACAAAACTTCTTCACCTCTTTATTCCTACATAATTTACACCCAGCAACAATGATCAAAACGGTCTTAGTTTGATACCACTGCAAAATTGTTAGCAATCATCACCTCTGCCATTTGATGCAGAGAGAGAGAGAGAGAGAGAGAGAGAGAGAGAGAGAGAGAGAGAGAAACCATGTGGGATATAAAGAATCCTCAGTGAGAACAGGCAGGAGTAGCTTTTCTCATCCCTAGTACACTTGAAAATCATGCCCTATTAATCAAAGTGGAAGGACTTGTGACTGCCTTCCCACTTCTCTTGACAATATCAGTACATCACGAAGTTTGACTATCACATGTAGTGATTTTCAAAATACGTTCAGCTATAATTGACAACTACAGCTGTAACAAGAATCCTAGTTCAGTGGCTACAATACAAAAAGCAACGACAAAAATACATCTTAATTCAGGCCACAGATGTTAGCACCTTATCTGAGGTAAAATTACCCACTGTGTAGAAGCTGTGGTAAATTCCAAGGCTCACACTGAGTTTTGCAGATGCCACAATCAGTCCTGTTCACTGTTTCACAAAAATAGACACACAGCAAGTAGCCAAAGAAAAAGCAATTCTGCACAGCAAAAGCTCTGGTACATGTAATTTTTGTTTCAGTCTGATGATGTCAGCCAGGTCTCTGGCATAAAGGGCTTGGCATCAATATATATACCCTGTGGAATTTCTACCAGTTAACTTGATGAATACCTTAAATGGAACACATTGCAGACCCCAAAGCAGCATCTGATGTTATGAAGGGTCTAAAGCAGACAATAGTTATACCAGTTCATTGCTGTCAAATCCTTACCTTTTAGAGGGTTATGTTTGACTTGCTACAGCATGGGAAAATTTTCACAACAGGATGGCTGGAAAGTAGAGCAAGCTGCTTCCTGAGAGCCTCTATTCAGAAAAATGCAGGCACTGAGATCCCCTTGGCTCTCCAGGAAAACCTCACCATAAAATTTCCCCACAGAAATAGGTAACTAGGCTTAGGAGTCACCAAAATGGAAATTTATGAGCAGCTTACTGAGGTAGAGGCTTGCAGGTCTCTCTGCAGGGCTTCAATCCTGTTGCTTTGTTGCTGGACAGTGGCTTCCAATCTGGTGTTTTCAATTTCAAGGCTTAAAAAGAAATGCAGGTCTTATTATAAAAATCTGCCAGAGCACCAATTCCAAAAGAACAGTGCAAAATAATAAAAAACAAGAACATCTTTCAAAATCTTAATAATTTGCTGTGATGCAACAAGGCTACCTATCCATGCTGTGGTTTCCAGCCAATCCTGCAAGTGACAGATACCTCACCCCACCGTGTTCTCTTACTGTTGCACGTGCTCTTCCAGTTGTTTTATAGTAGTGTTAGTCTCAGAAGATGCCAACAGCTGGTCCTGCAGTTTCTGGGCAGAAGCTGTTGCTTCTCTTTCCTTACCATCCAAGGCATTCTTCAAGTCACGAACACAATGCTCAGACTGAAGATACTTTTCTTCCACCTCCTGCAACTGTAATGTCACAGAAAGGATCCACAGTTGTCAGGTGAGCTTTTACACAGGGCAGTCAGCTGCTGCCCAAGGATTCACATGCCGCAGATGTCTGCCCATGCCCACTGCCCAAAGAAGTGTAATCATCTTAAGTACTTTCAAAGCTTCTACTTTCAAATGAACACAAGCTGTGTTACTTCCTAATCTTCTACAGCAGCCTCTCCCATCCCTCCATGGATTTCCTACAGCACAGCACTGACACTGCTGCTCTGACCCTTTTAGTCACTTAGGATGCTCTTTGTATTCACTTGTTTGCTCCTCTGTGAAAACATGAATTAAGACATTCATGTGTCTGTAGTGACCTCAGAAGTCCCTCATAAGGACTAGATTTTAAGTTACTTTCCTTTTAGAACTCCAAGGCCTCCATACGCCCATACCTTGGAAAAACACTGTGAAAGGTGGTCCCTAACTAAGAAATAGCTTATACTTTCCTTGCAGGAAAGCCATTTAAGGATGGCAAATTATAGCAGGGCCAAAGGGGAAAAATGCAGAATAAGTTACAAAAGCATTCAGAATTTGATGTGTTACCTGGTGACAGGGCAGGGTGGGGGGAAGTGGGGGCAGGGGGAAAGCAGGAGCATAAAAATACCCAAACACAGCAGTCCAATACTTCTACTGTTATTCAGAAATCAGACAACCTGCTTGGCTAAACCAAAGGTAACAAGGCAAAAATACAGACACAAATTCATTGTGAAAAGCACCTTCGCAAATAAACAATTTTGTCCAAGTTAGGGCATAATGTCCGCATGTCAAAGACACTAAGTTTATAAAACAATGCAATTGATTCACACATCATTAAATCTATCCTGTTTAATTTCTTCCCAGGGTTTTAGGACAACATCCAATCCAACTTTTAACAGCCACCCTAAGATTTATTGCTATAACTACAGACATTATGTACCTTGGTTTTAGCCTTTTCTAATTCCTTTTGCAAGTGCAGCTTGTCTTCCTCCAGGTCACTGCGGTAGCGCGTAGTAACTTCGAGTGAAGCTTCTGACATAGACTGCTTTTTAAGAGCATCAGCAAGCTCCTGCTGCAGCTGTCTGATCATGCCCTAATGAAACAATTAAATGAGCATGAATAAAGTCGTAAGAATATAAAAAATGCCTTTACTTTGACTTATTTGATTATAGAGTTAGACATGTTTTTGAATTGAACTCAAGTGAAATTGTCTGTCACCAGCAGGCATATGCACAGACAATCACCTCTCCATCTTTCTCAGCTGAGCACCCCCAAACTGTCAGCAGCTGTTCATGAGGATTTCTGTTTCCTAATACATAAAAAAGATCCAGATGTTGCTCTTCTTGCAACACACTGCAATCATGGGAATTTTACTAACATAATCCAAAGAAACCTGTTGTGATGCGAGAGCCATAATCTGACTGCAGATACTATTTTGTTCACCAAAGACAGGACTCGGTATCACATCATTCTTTGTTCTATTCCGACATTTTACAAATATAATTAAATTAATACCTATATCTAAAAGCTCTCTTTATATATACTCTAAGAATGTGTTGGATCACGTCTTCTTACAGCTGTCTTAATAAGTATGTTTTAGAATAACAGCTGTCTTTATACTGACATATTAGGTTTGCAAAAACCTGGATAGTTCAAACAGTTACACAGATGTAGTATTTTCAGAGGGAACCTGGTGTTTTGGTATGAAGAATACACAGCAATTCACAGATTAAAATGACTGACAGTATTGCTGGAGTTCTCTCCCCACACACACCTTACAGGAACTGACAAATGAAGAATAAAGCAGTTGTCTCACACATGCCTGTGTTTATCCCACTCAAAGATTCTGGACTTGTTAGGAAGAAGGAAGTGTAATTTTAAATCACTGTTCAAATCATTAAAAGGCAACAAACTGTACACCAGTGTGTCTAAATACTGACTTTCATTAGTTCCTATTTTCTAGAAAGTAAGGGAGATTAAACAAAATGGGTAAGGCAATTTTTAAGTCATTACTCTAACATTACTCTGAAATTGGTCAGAACACTATAATTATAGAATACCCTACTTACTCCTAGGAACACAGATAATGATGCATTCCCTAGGCAGACCCCTTAGAGCCCCCAAAATATTCATAAATTAATACCTGGACACTAAAATACTCTTCAATTTTGATAGCAACTTAGGGAAAAGCAATGTTTTTCCTCGACAGGAACTTAATACAAGTCCATCTTACACAATTCACTCATCTGCATCTTCATTTCTCAACTGTCACATATTGGATCATTCTTCTACATCACTCTTACTTGTGTCATCTGTGCAATACTTAAAAAAATCATGAAATACCCAAACCAATTCTGTAGGGCAAAAAATGGACTAAGAAAAACAGACGACAAGTTCTAGAGAAGAATCACCTTTTTTCATCAAAGCAGACTTGGATACCTGTTTTCTGCTCTCTGCTCAGATCTGAGCAGCAACACCCCATTTACCAAACCCTTCCACAGTTTCAAGAGAAACACAACAAACCAGAACAAATCATCATTATCTAGTCCCATGCATATGGCTTATATCTGATACACTTTAGAAACACCAAATAATTTCAAGAACTGGAAAACTTTAAATTGCTGTAAGTCTGTATTTTACCTCTCTCTCTATTTTGTCAGTCTCATATTTGAAGACTTGTTCTCTTAAATCAGTACACTTGGCATTTAATTCCTTGTTTCTCTCTTCCACTAGGTAAACTTGCTTTTCAGTATCAGCTCTGAGTTTGTTGAAAATATCATTAAACCGATCTTGCACATCATTAACTACTTTTTCTTTGATGATCCCCTTGTTCTGCAGATCTTCCAGTTGCTGACGGAGCAAAAGGTTTTCACTCTGGAGCTGGGCCAATCGCTCCTGCATGGATTCCTGCTTTATTGTAAGTTTGTTTACTTGGTCTTTCTCATGCTGTCGAGCATGATCATATTCCTTTGCCTGACACTGGGTTTGACTTAATTCTTTTTGTGTCATTTCTAAAAGCAATGCTTTCTCTCTGAGCGTTTGTCTTAACTGGTGAAGCTCATTTTCTAGACTGTTAGCTTTGCTTTCAGCTTTACTCAGCTGCTGAGACAAGCTCTTGTTGGCGTCTCGTACATCTGAGAGGTCATGATGGAGCTTGTCTTGCAAGCGAAGCCATTCATCGCGTTCCCTCTGAAACGTTCGTTCAACATCGCTTCTTGATGACTGGTGACGTTCAAGTTCTTGCACAGCAGTGTTCAAGCGGGAACGAAATGATTCAATTTCTGTCTCTAGTCTGTCTTTGCTTTCTTTTGTCTGGTCAAGTTTGGAAGTTAGCATTGCAGATTCTGCCTTTAGTAAGTTCAGTTGCCCATTGTACTGAAAAACTGTTTGCGTTAAGGCTTCCTCATTCAGCTTAAGTTCTTTTTGGAGATCTTCATTTTTTTCTTTCAAGGTCTCATTTTCCTCTAAATATTTTCCTTCTTCCTCCTGGTGCCTAAGTCTTATTTGATCAAGTTCTAGTCTTAGCATGGCAATTTCATCTTGCAGTAACTGATTTTTGTACAACAGATCCTTTTCTCTCTCAGTGTCGGATTCCTGAATGATAGGGAACATGAATAAATATCCAGGTGGGAAATAAATCTGCAAAACCACTTCAGCATTAAACTGCATTTTAGTGATTCTAACAGTGCAACTTGACTGCCAAGATGAGAATGAAATTTCAGATAAGACATAAGCTACTCTATGAATCAGTGCATGTGTCCAATGCAGGCACAGAATGAATGCATAACATATCCATAAATAAACACGCCAAATACATAATGCCTTTTTTTTCTGTAAACCAGCAAATAAATAATAAAATTATTTAAAATGTTTCAGGTATAAAGGTTATAAAATAACAGTCCTTTCTTGTGTGTGCATGTCTTTAAAGTATTCCCTTTTAGATTAATTTGGCAGTGTTACCAATTGGGTAAAATCTCTGTTTACCAGGCTAAAAAGGGTATTTTCTTTTCTTTAAGATATCTTTAAATATCTTAATACTTTTTTGGCATTATTGAAAGTTGGCTATACAGTTGAATCATCCCTGGAATGCAAGAGTCTTGTATAGTGCCTGTTTATTATACAAATTATTTTCCATGTAAACATATTCACCCTATATTTATTGGGCAGCACAGTCAAGAACAAATAAATCTTCCAAGAATTTCACATTCTTAATAAATTCATTAAACATTTCAAGACTTTTTTTTTAATAGTGTCCATGACTGCTTATTCTCCTTTAATTATTTTAACTAGTGTTGAGAGTTTAATTTATTGCTGATCTTCCTTCATAAAACTTTAATATGTGGAGGTGGAAAAGAACTTCATACTTCAAGTTTGATAAGGGAATAAATAATTTTAAAAACCCCAAATAATGGGAACACAAAGTGAGTGTCAATTTCCTTCCTTGCCAGCCTGGATGTAGGTAGCTAGGTGTTTCCCTGCTAGAAATCTTAAAAAGTGATGATAAAATGTCAAGGAAATAAAAACAAGACAAAAAATGGTGTAAATAGTGTTTTCTTTTAGCTTTCTACTTGTACATACAGCACTGATACTGCTTTCCAAAACTTTTAAAGACATAAGGGAAAACAGAAGAGGTATTTGCACAGTAAAATTACACTGCAAATAATCCATCAAGAAGCAGAAAAAAAATATAAGATTTATTATAACTTTAGAACAAACATGGTGAAATTGAATTAATTAGAAAAAAAAATCTCCTTACATCTGAGCTTTTCCCTATAGTTCTTCTTGTCTCCTCTTCTAGTTCCTTTTGTCTCCAAAGGTGGTTGTTCAAAATGCCTTCTTGCAGGGCCCTGGCACTCTTTTCCTGAGAGAGCTGTCTCTGTGTTTCATCACGCTCGTCTTCAACCTACAACAATAATACAATTAAATTACTTGCACCTTCAGAAAAACAAAGCTAGCAATATCATCCCACTCTCCCTTGTATTCTTTTAAACATTTTTGCTTTCCACAGTTACAATAATCCATCTATAAATTTTAATTTTCTTCTGAAAATTAAGAAGAAATACAGAATAATTTAGTTATTTTAATTATTATTTTATAATAATTCTGAAAAATAACTCAAAGTTAGGCTTTGAAATACAAACCAAAAAAGGGGAACACACTGTTCGCAAAATCTGGCAATAGTTACCCAATGCCTCTTCCATGAACAAAGTACCTCTTCTTTAGACATACTGGAATACAACAACAATTAAAAAGAAGCAGAAAATAAGAAAATTTTTTAAGTCATTATCTAACATACCTGTTTGAAGAGCTTTCTCAGTGTTACTAACTCCATTTCTAAATTCCTTGATTGTAACTCAAGCTGCTGTTTCTCCTCCATCTCTTTACAATATTGCTCTTCTTTCCTTCTGAGTTTTTCTTTTGTTTTCTCATATAGTGTTTCTACTCTGAGCCTCTTTTCTTCTTCTTGTTTCAAAGTAAACCTGGGAATTAACAGTACAGTTGAGAAACTAAAGCACTGATATAAAAATTAGGTATTCTACACTATGAACTTGCAGAAACAACTCAAACCATAAAAATGTTAAATATTTTCAGATTTTATATTTTTACTCTAATTTTTAACTTTTTAAAGAATTCTATTGTCATTCCATTATCCATGGTATCACATTTACAGTATATGAAAATAAACTCTTGACTGCTTTGTCACTTTTAAGTTTATCTAGGTAAATATACTGTTACAAGGTAACACATTATCAGAACACAAGATTACATACTTAAGGCTTTGGATATCACTTTTCCATTCCACTTCTTGATGAGCCAATATGGATTTCAAATCTTGAGTCTCTTCCGCTATTAATTTTGATTCCTCCTTTTCACTTTCCAATTTTCTTACTTCTCTCCAGACTGCTGCATATCGATTTTTTTCATGCTCTATTATTTGTTCGTATTTAAGAAGTATGTTTTGAATTTTCAGTAAAATAGCAGAACCTATTTTGAGACAGAAAATACAAAGTTGCAGATATGCATAAACACTTTGTAATGTGCAAATTATTTGATTTGGTGTAGGTGATAAAGTTTTGGCAGTGGGAAGAATGAAGGAAGGCAGTGGGAGTTCTCTGTGAGAAGAGGCCAGGTGTTGCCCCTTTCCAGACACAAGACAATGGACCAACTGCAGGGCACAACTGAGCCTTTCAGCCATGCTGGTGGCACCTCATAAAAATATATTTAGGAGAAGACAAAACCACCATTCAGGCAAAGGCAAAGGCAACAAATAGGAATAGACGCTGCTCTGTACACACGGGTCAGTGATGAAGGGGGTGGTGGGGAGGTGTCATCCTACACACACATGAACCACGATACCTAGAAGTGCACACAAAGAAACTATGATTTAAAAGAGAAACTTGTAACATCTGAGGAAAAAATAACTTTAGAACATACCTGTATGATCCACAGTAAGCTGTTCTAAGAGCAACACAGCCTCTTTGTAGGTGGATGTTGGTAATTTGACATCCTCTGATGTTGTGTCAGATGAGTGAGTTAAATCAAGGTCATCAGTTACATCCATTTGTATGTTGACCTACAAACAATACAGTATTTTCTGTATACAACTATGTAATAGTACACATGCATGAATGACACATTCTTTCATTCACAGTCCATATCTGACTGGTCCCATCTGAGTGATTAAAAGCTGATAAAACTATTTATCAATAAACTAATTTTACAGTACCTTGTTCTTTTCACTCGCTGTTTTTGCTGCAGGTCTGGAAAACAGAAATGTATTTCAGTTGTGGAATGTTTATCCTGCATTAAGAACAATATCTAAAGTTGTTTTGAAAACCTAATTTCAGTAGGGAATTAATGTAAAATTTAATACAAGAGTTGTTTTAGACGTAGGTGAATACTGGAAAAAAATTATCCTTATTGGAAGATGATTTTTTTTCACAAGATAGTAAGCAAATAGTTGAAATAACTGTTCATTCAAAGTGACAGGAATCATATAGCTACAGACATGGAGATATATAGATCCATAGTTATGTGCATTCCCTGTTTAATACTAGAGGTTTAGTTCTCTTCAATATTTAGACTCTTTCCCCTAAGGTCACAGACCTGTAATTTTGGATTCTCTAGTGTACTTAGGCTGACTGGGGTGGAGTTAATTTTCTTCAGAGCAGCCCACACAATGCTGTGTGTTACATAGCTGACCAAAACAGTGTTGACAACACACCAGTGTTTTGGCTACTGCTGAACAGTGCTCGTACCCTGTTGGCAATTTCTGTTTCTCATTTTGCCCCCTACAGTTAAGTTTGAGGTAGGCAAGAAGTCAAGAGGACATACAGCTAAAGAAAAAAAATAAAAATAAAAAACCTCAAACTCTAAGATGCATGTGATGAAATAGCAAATTTGTTCTTGTATAAGTCTCTCCTCTCCCTTTTTAAAAATATAAAATATATGTTTACATATACACTGATCTTTAGGTAATTTTTCAGCACATGTGCACACTGTCTTTATAATGAACTTAGCTAAGATGTTCAAAGCACACAAAGCAAAAAAGATGTGTTTTGGAACACAAAAATATGGTCACATGAAGGAACAAAAACCACTGTGCATATCAGGTTTACAAAAAACTTACCTTTAGCTTTAGGTCAATTTCTATCATTTAAGTAAGTTTTAGTTATAACATTCCTTATATTCAGTACCTTCCCTCCTCTTGAGATGCTTCACTGAAAGTGCTATCATCTGGTACTTGAAAATTATTCCCACTGGAAGAGCTCATCTGCTGATTAGCCTTCTGCTTTGAAGTTGGTCCTTTATTTTTCTTTGCAACATCATGATTCAGGGCAAATTCACTGCATTAAACAGAAAGAAAAAAACCCTACCTATTGAGTAACTTAACAGAAAATATTTATTCGAAACAGACACAAGATGATGTCAGAAACTGTCAGATCTCAAACAACTCAGATTAAAAATATCTGTGATAAAACACAGACTTAACTCCAAGGATTGTGGAGTATTTAAAAGCATTTAAGAAACCTTGCCCTAGGAATGAGGGGGGAATGTGGAACCTGAACAAGATTCAGGCAGTATCTTATATCCACATTAGAGGAAGTATTAAGAGCAGAGATTCCTTTGAAGGACAGACAGAAAAACCCTCCTGCTTAGGATTTCATAAAAATATCAGTGCCTCTTTCAAACTTTTAATATTCATTTGATAATATCTCTTCCCTCTTCCTAAAAAAAGTGTTTTTCTTATATGCTTATGAAGCAATGGTCTGCTCAGTATTGCTTTCAGCATCAAAGAAACTGCTTTAACTAGAACAATATTAGAAAACCTAAAAGATACTTAAGTAATCCTACAAATATGAATTAGAGATCACGTCTCTAGGTTCTACTTTCATTGGCACTTGAATAATTTCTGACCTCTCCTCAGGTGAAAAATTCTTGCTGACTTTTTCTTCTGTAGTGTTTTCATCCTCCATTTTCAAAGAGTCATTCTTCCTTAGGGTAAGCTTTTCTTTCATTTGCAGATTAGTAATATTGCCTGGTGGTGTATTTAATTTATCAACATTTTCCTCTTTTGCCACTGTCTGCGTATTGAAACATCTTTCTGTGTTTTTTTCCTTCTCAACCTACAAAAAGAAAGTTAAGTTTCAAGTATTAATCAGTTTTTGCATAAAAGAGAAACAGAGTATTCAAGATTGAATAATTCAGTGTTTACCTCTGAAGAAAAGTAAAATTAAAAAAAAAAATAGACCAGTATTTTCACAAAAATTACATTACAAAGTGTGTTGTCATTGAAAGTACTTCAAATTTACTCATGATCCTGTGATGTAACAGAAACATAGTCCTTAGAAAGAAAACAACATGTATCTTAAAACATGAACAACAAAAATGTAAAAGCATTACTGATGGATTAAAGAGTTAGAAGAACTGCACAATGTTTGTTATGAAAACAGAAATACAAAAATCAAGTGGATGTGTGCTTGGTTACTGCTTTCTCCATGAAGGGTAGGGTAGCTGGGAAAAAGATTCCAAAGCCACAAGTAGAAACAACTCCACTCACAGCAAACAGGAATTTAAGTGAAGGGCAATGATGACACACCATGCAGAAATCAAATGAGAAGTTCAGTCAAGACCCTGTTCAGAAGCTATTTTCATTCTTTGTTTCAGAATCAAAACTGATTTAATTGTTTGTACTTTTTATGTCAATGAAGTGCTAACTTCTTACACTGGAACTGGAACAATAGTGCATTCTGTGTTTCGTGAAAAGGGGGAAAAGGCAACTCTCCACTGCTGTCTTATTAATAAGTTTTGTATTTTCATTCAAACAATAACTAATTTGCAGAAAGCAACTTCATTTAATGATGAATAGCTGAAGTGAACAGGACCATTGATATGGAGAAAGACTAAAGAATAAGGAGTAGCAGGTGAACTACCTCTTTTTGCAGCTGTAGCTTCTCTTTCTCCAAAGCCAAGAATACTGTTTGCAGCATTCCTACCTTACACTTAAATCTTTCCAGATCTTGTTTTAGCTCTTCATCAAGACTCCTTTCCAGCACATCACACTCCTGAGCACTAGTAAAAAGACTTTCAGTTTCTGTTTCTCCTATATTACTGTTGATATGGCAGTTCTTGGGAACATCATCATTAAATCCAGAGTATCTTTTAAGTTTCATTTCTGTTACAGAACCTGCACTTTCATCACTTGTACAAACAGGTCTTATTTTTGGAAGAATATTAGAAATGTCACCCAAAACACTTGATTTTAAGCTATGCCTCAGGGAGTAAGCAGGATCTTCCTCTGCATTTTTATTATTTCCATTATCATTCTCTTCTGTTTCCATAGTAGGCATTTTCTTTTTCTTTCCTTTAGCTAGAGACATCTTTCTGTTATCTACATTGTTAATGCCAGCTTCTTCGTCTGTATTCCAGGTATCTTCTACACTTGTCCTTAAGCTATTTTGATCAGGAAGAACACCACGACTTGGAAATACAATTTCCATTTTGGGTATTTTTCCACCTAGTGTAAGTTTAATATCACCAAATTCACCTTGGCTTTCTAAATAATTACTTGATTCTGTCACAGGAGATGAAATAATGTGAGAACTCTTCAATTCTTCACCAAAGCCATCTTCTGGTATTTCTTCCACAAGTGAAGCAGTTTCCCCAGCTTCATTTTCACCAAACAACTGCTTCAGCTCTGCTGTAATGTTTTTGAAATTTGTTTTTAATTCCCTTTTCTCATTTTCAACCCACATTCTTTCATATCTTTTTTCCCAAGGTTTTAGATTTAACTCCTTGTCAGCACTGTGCGATTCCTCATTTTTTGTTAGGGCTTCCTGATGTGAAACTTCTGCTTTGTCAGTCTGATTTTCATGTGCTGTTTTTCCTATGAAGTTGGCAGCTTCTAAAATATATTTATCCTTAAGCAAACAGGTACAGACAAAAAGATTACCAAGAAAAAGGAAGTTAATCTAGGCAATTTCCATTGCAAACTCGTCCTATCATGTAACAGGAATAACAGCATCAAGATATTCTGAAAGCAATTTTTATAATAAAAATCAAGGGATACTAAATTAAAGGTTCACTGACTCAGCTTTTTCTTAAAAATAAAGGACTTACTAGCTACTAGGACTTATTAGAGACAATAGCTTTTCTAGGATTGGAGTTGTCTAGGCGAGTTGCTTTCACCTTTAGGCCTGCCTGTTTTCTGTAACCAGTGGCCTTTGTTAGAAGCAATTTATTTTTTCACTTAGTTTTACTGCTTTAATACCATTTTTCTTTGGAACTGCCCATGTTTCCTCACCTTCCTTCCTTCCTACTGTCTGGCATTTTACAATCCCCTGCCAGCTAAGCTAACACAGTGTTAATGAACACAATGACGTTTTTATTGTCCATGACACAGAGAACTGGGCCTATTTCTTCACCCAAGGCACAGAAATGTTAAATTTCATTCAAAGATCCCAAGAAAAGCATTTATGAGGGAAACCTGTCCATTCCTTCCCTCATCCCAAGTGAGGAACCCAAACTCATGTGAAAACCATACCGTGCCTCCCTTAACACCCCCCAGTCTCCCCCTGTCCCTGACCCCACTCCCGCTCCTCACACGCTCCTTCCCCTTATGCTTCCTAGCGCCTTCCATACAGGCCTGCAGCCTTAGTCCCACGGGGCTGAGACCATTCACCTCCTCTCTCTTGACAGCCAAGCCCTTCTTCCTCTGCAAAAATTCCTGATTTCAGAACGGGGAAGGAACACCTCAGCCAGCTCCCATCTGTCTCAGCCTCACCTTTCCCCAAGTTCACTGCCCAACCACTACGACTTCCAGCAGGCCTAAGTTCCATGCTCTGCCTGTCAATATTAAGCATGTTCCTTTTCCATCACACCTGGGTGTGGGGTAGAAGTGATTTGCTCCATTGTCCCCTTGAGGTGCTACAGAAGACTCCAGACCCCTCTATCCAGCCCTCTCCCTCTCCTACTGTAGGCCCAATACAAACAGGATGCCTGCCTTATTCCGATCTAAAATGCTCTCTGAAAAAAACCTTTTCAAACTCTTACTAACATGGCCAAACAAGCAGATGTTTTGCAGAGACAAGGAAAGAGTTGAGGTCACAAAATTTAACTTTTTTTTGTTTCTTCTTCTGTTACAAAGTGGAAGACCAGGCATGTTTAATCAAATAGGTCAGCATACTATAGACAAATTTCCTTCTTTACTTGAATGTGCATTTTGCATAGGGAAAAAAAAAAGAATTTGACTGCACCATTTCTCAGCACTGTGCAAAAGGAAAAATACTGAACAAAGTCTAAGCAAACCAGCTGGAAACAAATTAGTGTAACAGCAAGTATACAATATAACAATAAGGATTTTTCCCCACCATAAGAAGACTGCATCCTATTTTACTTCAGACTGTTATACAACCTTTATCTACAGGATTCTACAGAACTATTCATTGACTGGTAAGTTTCCTTCACTTTACATGTGTATAATATATAATTATTTGCTTTATAGTATAAACACAATTTACTATTTCAGACTCCTAATTCAAAACCTTTGGTGTTACATACCCACACTCCATAGTTTGCAATGGCATCCTTATCATCTTCTTTTTCAGCTGCTGATGACATATGAAAAGTAGATCCTGAGTACTCACCTACAGTGATAAAACTGTATTTTGATAACCAGCATGACCTAATACTACTTATTTACAATTAGAGTGCGTCTTGAATCATATTTGTGAGAAACATCTTGAAAGAAAATAATGCATCACCTCTAATTTATGAGCTCTTAAGAGACAAAAATTACCATAAAACAGACTGAAGATGCATCTGTGTACATTGCTTTTTTACAGGGCATTTAAAGGAAATTTGCTGAAAATTGCTGCAAGTGGTCACAAAACAACCAATTCTGTTTCTTAAAGGTGCATTACCGTGATCTTTCTCTTTGAAACACTGTGTGCCATACAGTAAATATGGCTCCATCAAATGCAATTCTCCTATGTGCATATGTGCAGTACACAAAAAATCATGAAAAAAAATCACAGCTTTGAAATATTTTATGGCCTCAGCTTTACTCTATCCATGAAACAAATCTGTCTCCAGACATGGATCTGGACTGAGTATTTCAAACTGCTACCTTATCTGTTGCAGAAGACAGATGGGAACTGAAAGACAGACTTGTGTCATGCTGAGAAACAATCCATGATCTGAATGCTTTGCTTATACTGTTGAAAGCCGGATTCCACTCTTCCCGCTCTCAGAATTTCTATATAATATGGGCAGGTCACAAACTTCTCAGATGTATTCACTCAGTCTGGCAGCCTACCCTGAATCTCTGTTACACCAGAGAACTGCACTCCAGATAATCCCAGACACAATCTAGAAGCAGCACCTCACTGTCATTGTTCTTGTGGAAGGCATATTGTACACTTTCAAGTGACAAATTTGCAGAAAGAAATGAGTCTTAGCAACTCAACTGAGGAATCTAAAAACAAGAGATGGAGGCTTTTCACTCTTATCACTCTGCACCTCCTGTCTTGCTCCATAACACCATGGATTCTACACAATAGCCTTTCTATATACAAAGTTTCACTGCTAAAGAGGGACAAAATATCCTTCCTACAAAAAAAAAAAAAAAAACCCAGCAAGACTGAGAAAAATACATAGGTATCATCAAAAAATACAAAAGGGTGCAACACCACTTATTGGCATTTTCTGCTTTAGGTACTTTTACAAGCCTTCATTCCTGGAAGGGCTCTTAACATTTGATACAAGCTCAGAGTTACACCTTTATGTCTGAACTGGAGTTTGAGCTCCTCAGTCAGTCAAAGGTCTCCAGAGGTCAATTCTGACCCCAAATTACACAGCATGAAGTAACAACCTTTTCCTCCCACCTCACTGCTGGGTAAAATTTCTGAGATTTTTTTGTAGATTTTACTGTTGGGTATTTGAGTACAAGGCATTACACAACAGTCATTAGTGGATTGACAGCACTTATTTCACTGGGCTATTATGATGATCTCTTGATAACTCTGATGCATTTCAGATAGTCTGATAAATACTAAAGAAAATAACAGCAATAATTAGGGATTATCTAAGGATAATGTTCTACAAGGAACACAGGCATTTTTCCCTTTTCCTTGTTTTTCAACAAGAGGAGCTTTAGACTTTAGTCATGCTTATAGATATCCCAATACCATTTGCTGGTGCAGATGAAGGCTCCAGCCAGCACTAAAAACAGACAGATGTGCTGGTGGTCAAGGGACATTTGTAGGTAGCACCACAGAAATTACTGCAGAGGGTATCCTAAGTTATCACTATCAAGGCTGCTGTAATCAAAAGCAACCCAAACTCCCATTTAGTCTTGCCCATCAGAGAAGTTTTCAACAGCAGCTATGCTGAGTTTGAAGTCTCAGTCTTCAAGTAAGATTTTAGGACCTTTGGAGCCCATAAGATCTATTCCACATAGTGTTTAATCAATCTTGAAATTTCTGTGTAACTGGCAGAGAACAAGGGAAAAGGCAGGAAAGACACAAGGCATCAATGTTCCTCCATCTTCAGGACTGCCTGAAAAGGGAAGATGACAACATGTATGCTGGAGGAAGCCAACATCATGGAAGGGTAGACTGTAGAGGGAGCAAACATGTACAGGTGCATATTTCAGTAGTCCTTCTGCTTCCAGAACACCTTGTTAGAACCATTAATTTAAAATTAAGAAAAGATTTGCAATTACAATATGTCTGTCCATGAATGAACATGACAAAGAGATGGTCATGAATACCTTCAATATCCTCAACATCTTCTAAATCAAATTCCTGCAACAGATCTGCAAAACAATAAATAAATAAATAAATAAAATAACACAGATGCTTTATTAAATACTCGTAAAAGATTATGAAGCTAAATCGAGAACCACTTAAGGCAAATGTACCTGATTTCTGCTGCTTGTTTTCAGGAGACATTTCATTCATTTCCAAAGCAGATATGGGAGTCTTCAGCTATGAAAGACAATTCAATGATAAAACACCAAATTCAAAGTAACTACAAACTATTTAATTAGTGGAATAAGTAGCCAGTCTAACATAACAAATACTTACCTGTGGATTGTTGGGTTTCTCCAAAAGGCCTGGAAGTAAAAAATATTTTGGGAAATGTTATTTTTTTAAATTGTGGATATGTTTTACTCCATTCAACATCAACAGTTTCTACAACTAAGTATTAGTCACAATCATTATTTCATCAAGAGTACAATACTGAACATTCCATTCACCCATCATGCAGTATGTGTCTTAGTGTACAAGAAAAAAACAATGCATACTTCCCATCATACACCCTGGATTTAAAATATGATTGTCACAGAACTAGGACAACACAGGTGAAGCAGTAAGGTCATGCTTGTTAACAGAACAAGATTAAAATATTTAGTCCTTTTGAGGAGCTGAATCCTGCTTTCTAAAAGGATTATTTCAAAAGCCAAAGCTGGTCTGCTGCAATGAATGATCATAAAACAGCACTATGACTGTGATTATTCTGCAAGTGCTTAATATTGAGGAGCATTTTCTTTTCCATTGATGTGACTAAGAAAGCATGGGTGCAGACAGTGAAACCTCATGTATGTCTAACAAGGTAAAATCAAGGCAGTGTTCATCAGATTATTATGGTTTAGCTTGCAGGGGAACAACAGAAACAAATGTTGTCTGGTTTTAATCTACATTTATAATATAGTTCCAAATTTTTTTTTTAATTTTATCCAACATTAAATCATTTCCAAACCCCCACAATCCCGCCTATACTTCTCAAATCCTCTGCTTAAGTCTTCTTATGGTTTGAGTCCTCTCACTAAAGAAGTATATGAAAGAATACTTAGAATTATTAAGAATGGCCCCATGGCAAGAATTTTATATTTAAATAAAATTGTCTATATTTTATATAAAGAAACCCAAACCAGCATTATAAAACAATCAGTATTCAATTTCAGTAAACCTGGTGCTCCAGCAGTGTAAAAAGACCTTAGAAAGATTACCATAACCACCTTTTACCATCTTTTCACACTGATCCTAAACTTGTCTTAGTAGAATTCTTGTCTAAGCAGAATTCTGTGACAAATAGTTAACAACTACATTTGAAACTCCTGGAAGCTTGTAAAGTTTTGCTCAAGACACTCAAGAGACAGTGTCACAAACTACAGGCAGAAATCCTCAGCAAAAATCCCTGTACTTGTAGTCCTACTTTAGCTTCTAGGCAAAGCACAACATAAAGCAATCAAAATGCTATCAAAGGTTAAGCTAGGGGTGACAAAAATGCTAAGCCAGATCATAGCTGTCTTCTGCTGCATTATCATCTAAGAATGTCAAGTGTTGAGAAAAGTCAGTCCTAATAAACATACACTGTCATCACTACGAAACAAGAACCTGAATCAAAAAAACAAGATATTCACTGGAAGAACACAAATAATGCAAAGAATTTCCTTTACAAACTGGCCAGCAAGTGCTGTGATTACTGGCATTAGTTAACAAACAATAAGCACTTCATTGGTATGGTTCACACTCATACCGTGACAGCATTTCTAAGACAGACACTGATAAAACTTTACTTTAGCTTATTAATGCTTACAGACAAACATTAGCCCACCAGGAAGTTACCATTGTCACTTTCCCCTGAAACAAACTGGGAGCATGCTCCATGTCTCTCTGCAGCTGGGAGCAGCACACCACATGGCAATTTTCTTGACATTCCAGAATCTGCCTGTGTAACCCAAAACACATGAATAAGAATTGGTACAAATGCATTTTCAACTAATTGCTATACAAAAAGGTCTTGCTAAACCAATTCATGTTGCACACTATCAAGTATATTCTAGATACAAAAATGTTTTTAAAGGCCCTTGGCAAGAATCCATCAAAACACAGCATATTGGAAAATCACAGCAATTGTGTTTGTTTTCAGATCTTAAGCAAAAAATTCATACCACTATTCTGCCACGCTGACAAACCTTGACAGACTGGACAACCACAAAGAAGAATTGACATGGTAACTCAAGATACAGGTTGTGAACCAACAGCTACATGTCTGCAGTGGTCCAGCATTTGTACTGAACTTGTATATGACATTCAAGTTGGTACGGACATTCCCATGGCATATATCCTGCAGTAGTGAATGAACACAGTGCTGCTCCCAATTGCAAGAGCCTTTGGATTGAACAAAGATTAGCAAGGCAGAGCTTAAAATTACCTTGAAACTAACAATGTTTGGGCCTTGTATTTTTAAGAAGGGGATGGGAAGAGTCCTTTTTTGTCAAAAGAAGAACCAGAAGGACTTAGCTACAGACCTTGCTGATTGCCATGGACAGAAAGAATGAAAAAGGCAAACAAGGCCAGCATGTGCAATGCCTCTGTTGAACGTGATTTTAAAGAGGGCCAGAGTACACCTGCAATAGGTAGAGAGGATCTGTTCAGAAGCAGCTAGCCATCAAGCTTGCAGACCCCAAGGGCAACAGCTAACCAGGTCAGACTAGGGCAGCATGGTGAAAAAGCAACAATCCTGCCTGCCTCTGTGAAAAGGTAAGAATATTTTAAGCAGCAAGGAACTTCACTGTTTCAGGACTATACTAGAAACCAAATTCAACCAGCTGCTGTGACCCAAGCAATTAGCTCAACCTAACTTCATCCCAAACCTAAACAAGCAGCTGGCCTAGAGCAGACTTATTTCAAGGGCCCCCAGTTACAAACATATAGCAAAAGGAAGAAAAGAGGAAATAAGCCTTATCAACAGTAGTGTTGAAAATGAAAAGGAAGCTCTCAAGTGATTCTGGATCTTACTTCTACTTCCTGCAGTGGAAACCCTTGTGTCCTTCACAATAAGTACCTCGGAATCCCAAGGAGATTCAGCATCTTCCTCTTGGTCTGCTCCCACTGTTAGAAAGGCATCTACAAATAAGGTAAGAAGCGAGATGCTTCAGTGTGTGTACATCCAAAGACACAGGTTTCATTGATGAGGACAAACTAAGAAGCAAGTTTTATTCAAGTGTTTCTTCTCACCCAGACACATCATGTTGTCCCCTTTTGCTCCCTTTTCTTCCTTTCTATCAGAAGATGGCTATGCACAACAGCTAACAAAGCTACAGGCAGTACCCAACATGCTTGGGTAACACTCAGGAAGATACTGCAGTATCCTGCAGTTCTGCTGCATACAGAGTTAAGGTCTTTCCAGGCTGCAGCTCCAAAATTTGGCATTTGCCATCACTTTCCACTGTACAGGGGGTACCACAGAAACACTATCCAAAACTTCCTCACAAAGGTTACACAATGCACAAAGTCACCAAGAAACAATCCTCCCTTTGTTGTGCTACTAGGAAAGATCTTCCCTGACAAAGTTGTTACCCAGCCCCTTCCCAGAAGCTATACACCTAAGTATTGCCATTTAAAAATAGAGGCTCACACCTCAAACACTTAACCCAAACACACAAAAGCCATTTCTGTCTTGGGGAGGGGGGATTAAAATTCAAACTGCTTCCCTACAATTTTAAGACAATTTTAAGGTTCAGTCTCAGGGGGTTACTAGCTAGATTTTACTATCGTATTTCTATTTTAAGCTACTCCATTAGGAAAAATTGATTCAGGATTCAATTGGACATGTGTGGACACGTACACATCAAGAAGGGGGAAGAAGGTGGATGTTCCTCATGTCAGTCTAACTCCAGCTTAAGTTCCAACATTCTGGAGCATGTTTCTTTTTTTCCTCTACTTTGTTCCATTGAAAATCATTAGTTTCCTGCTCTCAATCTCATACAAAATTCTTTTTTGTTTCCTCACTTTCAGCTATCACACCATGAATTTTCCTAAATGATAGTAAAACTTCACAGATAAAAACTGTAACAGAATGAGAAAAATCAAACTGATTCCAGAGTCTACTGCCTATTCTTTTTCCATACTATAATATATTACCATACCATGGCAAAGAAACTATTTGGACTCCAAGTAAGACACTAACATCAAAAACGGATGATTGAAAGATGGATATATGTGAAAAATAAGTATTAAGAGAAATCTGGTTTAGTATGTGTTTCTTACCTATCTGACCCTTAGAAAATACCCTTGTGATTAAATCATCCTTATGTACTTACTTCGCTACTTGAATGAAATGCTGCTCTCAAATTTTCTTCTTGCTTATTTAAGTGCAAGTTTTCACTTTCTTTTTCAGTGGTTTATAGACTTTATAATCTACTCCTTCATATTCTTCTTCTTCAGTATCTTCACCATCCACACATTCAAGTATGACAGAGGTTGGTCTTTCACTTTCAGGTCCCAGGGGTTTTTCTGCTAACCAAGAATTATTGCCACTTTCAAAGCCATCACTGAAGTTTGACCTTTTCTCCTTAACACCACAACTACCTAAGAGAGGCTGAGGTATCTCTTTTTTCCACTCTGTCACTTCAGAGTTTGGAAAACAGGAGTCAGCATTTCTGTAAAATTTCTCCTCAATCATGCTTTTTCTGTTCCAGCTTTCTTGCATATCTTGCAGATTATTTAGATTTTGAAAGACAGCTTGTTTTGGTACTGACTTGCAAGATACTTCATTATTCATGACCTTTGGAGACACTGCTGTTTTATTTTCTTGAAACCTTTCACAAGACCCAGCTATGAAAGACACAGGAGTATTAACAGATTCCTCCACCTTTTCATCATGTTCTTTATTTATTTCATCATCATCACAGACATTTTCCGTTCCACATCGAGCATCCCCTTCATACTTTGCTTTATTGAAATACTCTAATTTCTGATTAATTTTCCCTTTAGGTTCTGTTTTCTCCTCTTCCAGTATTTCATTAGACTGAGTTTCTTCATCCTTCAGCTATTCCTCCTCCTTTTCATCTTCAGTAAAATCTTCACCATCATCTTCCTCCTCCTCCTCCTCTTCCTCCTCATAATCTTCATCACCATCTTCATTGTCATTTTCATCCTCTTCCTCCTCCTCTTCTTCCTCCTCCAATTCTTCTTCATCCAGGTTGCTTGCAGCTGAGACATCTTGATTAAACAATTCTTCACTGTCCCCTTTGCTCACATTTCCACCTGATGGGATTCTTTGTTTGAGACTTTTCTTTGGTGACTTAGGGCTTTCAATTCTAGAACCACCACCATCATCTTAAAGTACAAAAAAAGAAAAAAGCACGTGAACAGAAAGAATTATGGAAACAGTAATAGGCATGTTATCAGATTAATGTACAAGACAGGAGCCATTTGGGAATGTCTAGAATGGAGAGGCTGGGCAGGATGGAGGATGAACTTGATGAAGGAAAGGGGCTTAAGAGGTGATTAATAGCTTCATTTTAATGACTTATTTTATTCTGAATTATTCAGTGCCGTGTTTACAAAATGCTACTTTTTTCATTTACTATTTAAAAAAACCCCCTAAACTAACCAAAAAAGCTACTTAGCAAATCTCCTTTATATGTCAATATATCATGCAACCTTTTGCAAATTAACTTACTGTTTTTCCTGAACTGCTGTGAAGCATTCATTAACAGTGTCAGGTTTGGCTTCTGCAACTTCTGTAAACAAAGATTTAAGATTTTTTTTTAACAGTAACAACAACAACAAATCCTTTGCTCACATCAAATCTTGAACAGTAAATATAATGAGACTGTCCTTATGATAGTGCTGGCTCTATCCTATACTTCTAACTATAAAAAACACTCCTCTCATGTCCAATTCAGTAAGTATGTGCAGGCACCCTTCTGCAAATTGTTTCCAAAAATGTTTATGTGCATAACTGTTCTAAAAATATCTTTCTAATATGTGCAATACTTAAGTAAAATTCAATATACTTAAAAGTGCATTCTCAGGATGCTTACTTGCAAATGTGCACAAGGTAACTATTAATTAGTTGTCGTACTTAATGCATAAATTTAGTCCCTGCAAGTACACTTAGAAAATACCCCTAAATTTCAAAATCATGGCACGAAAATATATCATTTCTATTTAAATCTGTGCAAGAAAATAAAATCAAGTTAAAACTAAACATGCTTGCATCTCCAGCATTACAGAGTGGGTTGAACTACCACACTCAGGTTGTACATCACAGCACAATGCCAATGCAACAGAGTTGATGCTCCAGACATCACTCAAAAGTTTGTAATTCTACAGATCATTAGTAAAAACAGTAGGCATAAGAGCCTGTAACTAATAAAAAGAGTATTACCTAAGCATGAAAAAAAAAAGAAAAAATGCAGTGTGAGATCACACACAAGTACTGGATGTCATCTTATAGAAGAAAATAGATGACCATTTGAGTAACTCATCTGTTCATTGAGAACTCTTGAGGAACCTGCTGAGGAAAGGAGAACTAGGTGATGAGGATTTTTACAGATCTTGATAAAACAATGTCTTTATCGCTTAGGAATCTACTCAGAGGAAAGAGAAAATTTTGCTACCATAGGAGTCAATCACCATTTTAGTTCATTTTCTATGGAACTAAGAGCAGAAGGAAGGCTGGCATGCCAGAGATTACTTTAAAGAGAAAACAATATTGGCTGGAGCTGCAGTTTCTTTCAGTTACAATGAAAATTTGCCTTCAAACCCCTTTTTTTTTTTTTACAGGATATTTTTCCTGTAAATGCACCATACCTTGGGGGTAAAATCAAGTTCCTCTTCTTCAGAGGTATGCCAACTGTCATCGCTCCCCTCTTTCTCAGAGCTTCTTTAAAAGCAAAGCAAAATGAGTACCGTGTCTCTCAAGTCATTCCTCAGGTAAATGTTATTATTTTTAAAGTCTCACCTTATTGAGTCTCCTTGGGAGAAGTCATCCATTGCTGTTCAAACATTAATCAACATGTTGAAATTAAATTTAGCATGCTAAAAATTAACCATGTAAAAATTCAACATTTTACGTGGACAGCTCTACACATCATAATAGAATAATGCTTTGGGTAGTAAATTCAGTACAAGGTGGCATAAATGACTGCACTTCCAGAACAAAATTGCATCTTCAAACAACACTAAATTAAAAAAAAATAAAAAAGGAAATAAAAAAACTAGAGCTATATCTCTTCTGGAGTCTTATACCTAGAAGTCTAAAAAACATAGAAACACACCTAAACTTAAAAAAAAAAAAAAAGGTATAACATTAATATCCTATAGTAGTAAACAATTAACAAAATGGTGGTGGTTTAGCAAGACATTAAGAACTTCCAAAGTATTCATCTTACACACAAGTACACATCACATGCAGAGCTTTATTATTTTATGCAGCATTATGTATAACATTATGGTAGATGTTACACTATCTGCTGCTCTACCCAGTTACAGTTTTTTTTGCAAAGGTAATGAAAATCAAAAAGCATAATCAAGCTCTAAAGCTCAAGTAGAAGAATCACCAACACTTCTGTACACTGCATCAAAAAGGGAATTCAGCAGACAAAAGTGGCAAACCCAGGGCACTCTATAGCACACTCCAAGCTTTCATCAGTGTTACAAACACGACTTGCACGTAGGATAATAGGATAAATCAGGTCTGAAGGAACCTCAGGAAGTCTCTTAGCCAGGCTTCTCAAAGCAGGCTCAGTTATGAGGTCAGATAAGGTTGTTCAGTGCTTTATCCAGTCTGGTCTTAAACACTTCCAAGGAGGGAGACTGTACAACCTCTCTGTTTTACTGTTCCCACATCCAATTTGAAACTATTTTGTTGCCTTTTATGCCTCTTATATCTCTGCCTCCTGTCAATGTACCACTGGGAAGCACCTGGAAGATTTGTCTTCTCACATATACTAGAAGCTGCTGCTAGGTCCCCTGCAAATTCACTTCTCTAGGCTGAAAAATCCCAGCTTCCTCAACCTGTCCTCAAAGGGCAAATATTCCTGTCCCTGATGAATCTGATGGCTTTTCACTGAGCTTCCTCACTTTTCAAAGCAAATGTCTCTTGCATTGGAAGCTCAAATTACACCCAGAGCACTGGACATAATCCAGAGAGTGCCAAGTAGAGGTGGATAATCACTTTCCTCAATCTCTTGGCTATGCTGCTCTTAATTCAACTCAGGACACTGTTGCCAGGGCACCCTGCTGCTGGCTCATTCTCAGCTCACTCTGCCAAGACCCATCTTGCCTTTCTCAGCAAGGCATCTCTCCTGTTAGGCAGTGCCAGCATGCTTTGTAGCAAGGGGTTGTTCTTTTCCATGTGCAGATTTTGCATTTGCCCTGGCTGAATTTTGCTAGACAGGCCTGAGAGTTCATTTACACAGTCTGTCAGAGTAAATGCCTCTGAATGACAGCACTGCCCTGAAGTGCATCCACTGATCCTCCCAAATTAGGGCTACTTGCCAACTTGTTGAGAGTGCACTCTAGCACATCACTGATCCACTACAGAAACCTGACCTCTAGGAATCCAGCTTCAAGAACTGGAGTGCTAGAACCAAGCACTAGAACCTCTCAACAGCTAAGATCATAAAAAAGGGCTCTTCAATTCCCAAAACAGAAGGAGAAAATAAACACAACTTCCAATAGTACCTATTTCAGCATTCCTCAAGCTCTTGATAACTAATTCTTGTCAACTATCATAACAACCAATCCAAGGTATTTGGCAGAATCATTAAAGGGAAAAGAAAACAAAGGCATATCATATGCCTGAAGACATCTCCTCCACTAGCATTAAATATAAACGAGCATGGAAATTTTGTCTGTTCTAAAGACAGGGTACATGTAGAAATGTTGATGAGTACATCTCCTGACCTGCACTGGGCTTTTGGACAATGAAATACAGTGTGCATGTCGTGAAGAGAAAGCCTAGAAGCTGAAACAAGGACAAGCTAACAGTTTAAAAATACAACACAGACTCTAATTTTCACTGTTTCTTTTTGCAAACACACAATATTTAAATAATATTAATTACTTGTACATACCACAGTTCCTGTTAACTCAATCAGTACCAGTAGTCTAATCTACCTGCTGATTTCCCAAGCTGAGTAAAAACATCTCCACCACTGTGGAGCAGTGTGGAGCAGTCAGTTAGCACGCTTGATGGGTGACTTCAGTTTTATTTTCAATTAGTACAATTATAAGTAATCAAAAGAGCTGAGTAAGTTTTCTGAAATTTTGCTTCCAATGAATAGATTAGCTCAGTTGGGTAGAGCATGGTGCTAATAATACCATGCTTGTGGGTTCCAATCCCTGTATAGGCCAGTCACTTAAAGAGCTGGACTTGATGATCTTTGTGGATCCCTTCTAATTCCAAATATTCTGTCATTCTGTAAATAGTGACTTTAAGCATTGATCAAGAACAAGTCCCATTGTCCTTTAGAAGGCAAAAGAGAAAGTTCATGAGCTACCTCTCAGACAGAACTCTGATTACAGTAAAAATGGGATCTAGAAAAGCAGTCTCTGGGGATTGCTTGTTTCCACTTTAATTCAAGCCCATTTCCATTTCAGAGTAAAAGAAGGGCTTATTTAAAAATTATTTACTATCATCAATGACACAAAGCAAACACTAAATTCAATAATAAAGAGGCAAGGCAAAACATGCAAACAAACAAAAATCACACAAAGCCTGCTCTCAAATGTAGTTCAGAAAACCAGTACCATCAAAATAGGAGCCTCCAGGATAATGAACATCATAGATGTGTTGATATCTGTATACTGCACAACATGTTTCATATTTTAAATGCTACTATATAAAATACCTTTCCTTGATTTTCCTGTTCTTGATGTCTGGTTAGGAGATTGTTGCATTCCTATATCCATTTAGGAAAAGGCATGGAAAGGACAGATGGAACAATGACATAAGAATAAACTGGAATTTCCAGAAACTTGGAAAACATAAGCAGTACATCAAAACAGCTACAGCAATGGGAGAACATACTGTGACTATCAACCTATTCTACAGTCAGAAGTGCTGGAAACAACCCAACCAGAGTCTAAATAACTCTGCTCTCAAGGGACAGTGTCAAACAGTAAATTAAAGTACTTGCTCCATGTAGAACATCCATATTTCCATATTTTGAAACACTGAAACATATTATCAGAAATATACTCTCCTGATAATTTTGTATTTCCCTCAACTTGACTACTTCTTGTCTAGCAGAGATGCTAATTAAATTCCTTCATGGTTGTACAGTGCCTTACACATACAGCACACAAAAGTCCTTATTCTAAGGAAGATCTCAAAAATCCGAATGTGTCAAGAACCAAACTTTGGAGACTACCCAGAAGTTTCAAGGAAATCTTGGCTCCCTGTACTCAGACCAGCATGCAACTTTGAGACGTTATGTTATTTACACACATTCGTCTTAAGCTACAGTTTTAGCATGTTTGTTATCCCTCGCTAAAAAAGGAACACAGTCACTTGTTGCCTTAAACCAGTTCATCTTAAAAGTTTTGTCAGTTGGTGCCTGATACAAACATAGGCCACTTCTACCTCAGTTTAAAGAGTCCTGCTTATATTCATTTGACCATGCTGAACCACTCAGACATGACAAGAGAGCAGCATGTTCCCTCAGGGCTATAGAGCAGGCCACAACCGGACCGAAATGGGTACACTGACTGGTGTATCCCACATATGTGTTTGTGTGTGAACATGTCTGCGTCTTGTGGAACACAAGTTCAGAATATAAATCACTGTGCATCTGCTCTACCCATCCCACTTAGTAAAATGCAAGAATTCATTCTGTTATTGCAGCTAACTGACACCAAATTTCTTCATGATGCAACGTTTGTCTCAGAACAGAAGGGAGTCCTGCTTCTATCCATTTTACCACAGGGAACGAATGTGGCAAAATTACTTGTATCAAAACAAGATACATTTAAAGAGTTAAGAAAGGACTGCATGATAGTTTCTTATCTCTTCTACATTTCTCAGCTTTCTGAAGAGATAATACAGGACAGCTTTTACTGAACTTGGGAGATAGAAACCACTGAATTCTTTTCAAAGAGCTTTATGATGGAAACCCAACAGTTTCCATAGGGACCCAGGAACACGAAAGGAACAACACATCACACAGTAAGTATTCATAAAAACAAAAGACAACTTTTGAAGTAGGCTGAATTGCTCATTAGAGGAGAGTATTTTGAAAAATATTCAACAAGTGCAAAATTAGCAAAAGGAACAAAGACAACACTGAAGATTCCAGAAAAATTGTACAGAAGAGCAACAGAAACAAAAATAATTTCAAAATAGGTTTCTCTGTTCTCCTGAGATCATTCAAACTTCTCTCTAACAGAGGCTTCAAAGTCTGTTACTGCAGCATATTAGAAGGACTCTCATGCTACAGGACCTATACTTTTTCTGTGCAAGTTAGAGACTGCATAATTAATGCAGGTAAATATTCTCTTTATGTTACTAATCTCTAAGAGACAGTAACAGCATGCACTGTTTGGCCAAAAGATTGCATTCCTGCAGTCTATCAAGAAACTTTCCAAATCTCTGACTAGGTCAAATCAAGTGTTCCTAAGTCAAAGCAACAAAGCCTGACTCTAAATTAAACTCCTATATCTAGGAAAGGTCAGTGAGGAAAAATATCCCAGAGTTTGCTCATTTTTCTAGACATATTTAAAAATGGAATAAGGAACTGTATTTAAAGGAATAATGAATTGTGTTTGAGCAGTGTCTTCTGCCCATTTGCCACATAGTTCCAAAGTAACGCCCTTAAAAATTCAGAAAGAATACAATCTCCCACTTGTAGGCCTTGAAATGTAAAGTACAAGACACACTATTTCATTTACTCTAAGGTATTAATTTTCTAAGATTCCTCTAGGAGTCTGAGCTCATAACCATAGACTGAATTTTTAAAACTCACTGAAGGAGTTAATTTTTTGATCACAAGGCAATTTAATTGTTTTTCTGGATCACAAGGTAATAATTCTTTTCTAAAAAAAAAATCATCACAATTACTTAAAGTGGAAGAAAAGCATTATTTGTGTTGTAAATCAAACTATACTCTAGCCAATACAGCATTCACAGACTGCAAATGTTATTGCCAACAAAGTTACTTTTCCAATATTTGCTAAGTATGTCTCTACAACATGTACATGGAAAGTTATAACTGATTTTGAGAAACAGGACATGCAAAAAGGACCTTAGTGCAGATGGAACTATTAACATTAAAATGAAGACACAAACTCCATGAAAACTAACAAGACACATACCTTTCTGCTCATTTCTCTGTTGCTTCCCAAGTACAGAAAGAGGAACAACTACTCAGGTGGAACCCACTGCTTTTGTAAATGGATTTTCACAATCTGAGTTGCCATCTCTAGGTAGAAGTACACACTTGAAAAGTAAACACTTTTGCCTAGTTCCTTCCCTATCCTCCTCTCTCTCTCAAGGAAAACCCGAATAGGTGGACAATCTGACAGACAGAAAGTAACAACCCCAAGAAGTGAACACAGAATGCAGATCAAATACTTTCACAGCCGGTCAAGCAGCACTTCCAACTATCATCAAATAAGCACATTCACAAAGCTTGTGCTACTCCATCTGATGCCTCCACTAAAGCCAACAGTGAGCACAGTAAGCGCTAACAACACAAATCCACTAAGGAAAAGCCACACTGATTCTCCTTGTGAGCTACTCCATGGCGAAGGGTCTTACCTCCTCTGTCCACAGCAGGTGCACCCAATGTAAAGCCAGCAGCTGCTGCCCTGTGTGGAGTGCCAAGTGCTGCGATGCCTCGTGCACCACCACGTGTAGAAGCTTCTCCTGTGTTTTCCCAGTCTGCATATTCTGCCAGTTGTTTGCTAAGACTTTACAGAAAAAGAGAAGAAATGCATAAGGTAAAAAATATTCCCATACTTGCATATGCCACTTAATAGAAGAGTTAACAGCCACTTCTTATCCAACCTATTCTTATCCTATCTTCATTCTATCCATAGCCATATAGATTTATGTACTCATATGCACTTACTGCATGACTATTACACACTTCAATATTCACATGACTATTACACACTTCAATATTCACTACAGTCACATTCACTCTACAGTCATATTCAAACGTACAAAGGTATTAACTCCTGTCAAGTTTCACCTCTGGCTAACTGTAGGACACAGACAAATTTTAAAGTATATAGTGAGCAAATGTGAGCTTAGCCATAAAACTTGAAATCTAACGGAGAACTCTGGGTAAAAATTTTCCTCAACTTCCAAGTTAACACTAGACACTGGAACGATACATATCAGAAGACAGGAGGAAATGACCACAAGTTGTGCTGGGGAAGGGTAAACTGGATATTAGGAAAAATTACTTCAGTGAAAGGGTTGTCAGGCATTACAACAGATTGACCAGTGAAGTTATTGAGTCACCAGCCCTGGAGGTATTTGAAAGACATTGTAGGCTGGCACTTAGGGACGTGGTTTAGTGCTGGGCTTGCCAGTGTTAGGTTGATTCTTTAGTCAGGCCTTTTCCAATTTAAATGATTCTATGAAGTCATCACTGAGCACACCCTTACACAAGTCTCAGCACATCATTAAACCTTGGTGCTGTTATAAAATATTATCAAAAACCACACTGATAACTGACAACTTACCCTAGTGATACAGTTTAAAATTTACCTAGAATATCCATGAATAACAGCATAATCCTCAGCTGTCCATCCATTAGTGTCTTTATGGGAAACATCAGCACCATACCGAAGAAGAACCTTTATCACATTAAGCTCTCCACCAGAAGCAGCAGTCATAAGTGGGGTTCTGAAGGATCCAAGAAATACAATATGAAATAGACTGCTTTACAGTCACCATAAATATCTTTGTTTCTGTTCACCCTCAAAAAAGCATACTCTCCATTACTTTAAAATGAACAAAAGAAAAAGCATTTTTCATTAAGAGAGCCAATAAAATCGGAGAAGGTCTCAGAACAATTAAATGTTTAATATTAAAACAAAGCTTCCACACAGACGACGCTTAGAAACTCTACTACTATGCAGGAGATGGCTTTTCATTTTGACAGAATGCCACTGAGCTAGCGGCAGGCTTCCTGACAAAAAGGCCATCACAGACAATAACATTCTGCAGTCCTCAATGTGGAAAGCACTGACGAGATATGACAGCAGGCCACTGAGGTATGACCATCTTTCACAAGTCACACAGAAGTAATTGCTTCTGTATGGCTCCTTGTTTTGTGTTTTTTCAAACCTCATTCCCAAACCTCTCTCAAGCCAAGCCGAAGAATATTAAATAGGCCCATGTAAAGTTTTGACAGCCTCTGACCTTTCACATTGATCTCGAGCATGCACGTCAGCTCCTTTTTTAAGGAGAAACTCCATTATTTCTTCATGATGTTCAGAGACAGCAAGAATAAGAGGGGTACATCCCTCCTGAAAGGGCAGATAAAGTTAAAAATCCAAGTTAAAACAAACAAACAAAACTTTAAGAAAAATATGAATGCAACTTTTGGAAAGCACTTTATTAACAAATATAAAAAATTACCTTATTTTGGGCATCAATATTAGCATTATGCTGAAGTAACAGCCCTGCTACAGCAGTACTACCAGACAGGACAGCCAGGTGAAGGGCAGTGTTGCCATCAGCATCTGCCAGATTTGGGTCAGCACCATGTTCCAGCAGAATAGCCACACATTTTTCTTGCTGGCATTGTACTGCCTAGAAACAAAACACAAAAAACTTTAGCATTTACAGTTTCACTTGTTGCAATTCCTCCATCTTCTCAATACTGAGAATTAAGAGCACCTTCAAAGATTAGCTAACATATGCCCATTCTACAACAATCACAATATGCATGATTTTACAAAGGTCTACATAAAGAATCCTGAAAAATACATTATTTAGTTCAAAATCAGTAAGTTTCATTTGCGAGAACATACCATAGTCCACGTACCTTCATCAGTGGTGATCTGTTATCATTGTCAAAAAGATTTAGCTTACACTTGTTTTCTACTAGAAATGTAACTACATCCACATGGCCGTTCGCACAAGCAAGATGCAGAGCTGTCCTAAAAATTAAATAAATTGAATTAGCACACACAGGGATAATTTCAGGGTTTTTTTATAAACAGATATGACCACAAGTTTCACTTTGCAAATGTCAAACTTAAGAACCCATTCCATTAGCTGCACAGGACCTGCACACCAAATGCGTGGGACTTGCTAGCAAAAACCCTCCACAGCTTCTGCTCAGTAAGGGAACATTTCCCAATAGAACAGAATCTGCAGAAATTCCTGTGCCCAGGCATTGGGTATTGTCCCCACTGCAGTGTGGGACTACACACATGGCACAGCAACAGAGACCAAAGCCAGGGAATCTGAGGACTATGACAAATCAACTTCTAAGTTATTCTTTGATCATTCGTGGGCCAGAAGTGTATTGAAAATGTTAGAGTTAGGTTGATTGCAAGAATATTAGCGCTTCCCCTCACTTTGAGAATTTTTCCTTTTCCTCTAGCTGTTTTACTACTGAAGCAAAACCAATAACACATTTGCATCCAAGTGCCTCTAACAACATGCAGGAAACCAAAGAGCAGAACACTCTGATCCTGACTACAGGAAAGTAGCTTTTGACTTTCCTGTAATGTTTAACCATCATAGTCATAAAAAGCCTACTACAGATTAAGTCCTCTCCAAGGAGGCAATACTGTGTTTCCACAATATATAACCAGCACAGGAAAACTGAACTTTCTTCTTCAATTTAAAGCCTTGCCAGAAGGAAAAGCAGTCCTTCAAACCACAACATCTTAGGTGTCATGTCAATTAACCAGTCTACTTGTACACAAAGACACAAGCACCAAGGAAGTCCTTGCATGTGTTTCCTCCTACAGATCTAGTAGGTGTTTTTAGGGCAATAAAACTAGATTAACTTTATTGCTGCCAGAAGTCCAGCCTAGGAAGCTGAACTATTCTGCTAAAACCAGCCCTTCTTCCACAAAGGATTTCACTCCAAGCCTTTTCAGAAAAGGTGATTCCCTTTTGCTTATGACAGATCTATGCTGCAGGAACTATGCTGCAGCCCAGGGCTTCTCCTTAAGGTAGAACTGTTAAGTGCTTGCTGTGCACACAACACCTTCTTCTGCAAGTCACTGACCAGATATTCCAGTCCAAGGTGCTGATCAGCTGTACCAAAGCATCAGAGCAAAAAACTGACTGCCATGTAAAACCACACTGTGGCTTAGGCTGCCATATCACACTCAAAAAAGGCAACTATGCATGCAGCATCAATAAACAACATGTTTATTTTGCGTTATAAATCCTTCCTAACTGCAGTGTCCAACTTTCTTTAAGTTGCTCCCAGCTCAGGCAGCGCATCCTTCGGGCTCAACTACTGAACCTGCACGCTGAGCCCTCAGCCCATAAAGATGGGGCGATTACACTCAGACCTCACACCCTGGCTAGATAGAGAATGGCCATAAGGCTTCTCTTGCAAGTCTCCTCTGCCAGGCTAAGAGCTCGCCTCCACCCCTGCCCTCCTGGGCAAGGATACAGGAGTCCGGGAATGAGGGCACTGAGGAGGCCGGGTCAAAAACGGTAAGGGACGGTTGGCCGAGTTCAAGGGGTGTTTGGCAGCCCAAGCCAAGGGCTGCGCTGGGCTGTGTTGCCCGCACTCCCACTCCTCACAGCGACGCTGCCGGTCGGCTCCTGCGCCGGGGAGCTCCCGGGGCTCCTACAGCTGCGCCTGGGGCTCCCGAGACCGCCCCGCGGCTCCCGCCCTTACCGCTCCGCCTTGTCCCGCCCGTCGATGCTGTATTTCCTCAGTCCCTGCCGCACCTGGGCCAGGTCGCCGCTGGCGGCCGCGCGGTGTAGCTTGCCCAGGTCCTTCTGCCGAAGCTCGTAGGCACCGGCGGAGCAGGGAAGGGAGCCGCTGCCGGGCGGCGGCTGTTCCTTCCTCTTCCTCCCGAACCCAAAGATCCTCTTCATCCCGCAGCAGGAACGCAGGCACAGTCCCGTCTAAGGAGAGCGACGGCGGGAAGCACCGGCGCGCTGTATCGTGCCTCAGGCAGGAACAGGGGAGGAGAGCCCCGGCAGCGAACCCGACTCGATGCGGCCCCGGCGCAGCGAACCTCGGGGGCGGCAGGGGCCTCAGGGCACTGCCCCCGGCAGCCCCGTCCCACCCCCCGCGCACGGCGAGCTCCGCGCAGGCGCGGGGGGATCGCGCAGGCGCGGCCGCGGGAGGCGGGGAGTTAGGGACGGGACGGTTCTCGGATGGAATTAGTGTCCCAGGGCGCTCGGAGCTGCGTGGGTGCCGCTATCGGGCTTGGGTGAATGGGTGACGAGAACAGACAGCAAGGATTAATGCAGGAGGAAAGGGAATGGAGCAGAGCTTCAGACATCATCTAGTTACGTGCCTGACCAGATGCTGAGGAATACGTGCGGTCCAGGTAGCTGGGATCGCAAGCTGCCGATTGAAATCTAGGTTAAGCTTTGGGTGGGAGCCCGAGACAACAGGCCGTGAGCTGCCAAACTTCGGGATATCCAAGGGCGCGAAGATGGGTGATGCTAGTCAGGTGAACAGACTCTGGGAGACACAGCAGGAACCTGGAATTGCCTCTTTGGGTAACAAAGGAGATGAAGACCGGTGACGCCAGCGAAGTCCTTGAACATGGAGAGTGGGACAAGAGCCCGAGGCTCGGGCGGAAGAGCGAGACTGGCTCAGGGGGCCCTGTGAGGCTGCAGCAGCCCAGAGGTTCTTTATGCAGGTGCTCTCCTCAGAGGCACCAGCTCGAGCTGTTTCTGTGTTACTGCACAGGAATAAACTGCTTTATGGAGCAAGCTATCTGAGACTCTGCTATGGGAAACCGGGGTCGAGCCGGTGAGGAAACCTGGTGTGACCGTGTGAGAGTCGGGCTGCGGCGAGATGTGTCAAGCGAGGCGCCCTCAGCCCAGCGGAGCCGCGCGGCGTGCGGGGCTGCCGTGCGAGCCTGTGGCCCTGTGACACCTTTGGGCTGTGCGACTGTGGAGTGCTGGGAACGGCCAGACTGGGAAGTTTCCCCGACACCCATGGCACACTCAGAAAGTTACTTTCTGATAAGTGTGCCTAAGTTGGCACTGACACAGAGGAATGCAAACATGGATGCAGATGGCCTGTATAAAAACGTAGTACAGAAAGCAAAACATTTTGTAAGTTTGGAATAATTATTAATATTGTACTGCTACAGTGATGCCACTGGGTAGTTCACATACCATATAATTGGGGCATGATGCCGTGGTACAGTATATCCTAGGGTATTTGGCTAATGGAACACCTTGCCAAAACAATTTTTCCTATCTTTAGAAACTACTTTTTGCATGTGAATTTCTGAAAAACAGATGGCAAACAAAATCTAATTCAAACAGAGGAGTGCATTTCACTATGATAAGCAGTAAAAATATTTATTGCAACTGGACAGGAATATAGTAACACTTTGTAGGGAGGTGATTCAGCCCTTTGAAATATTTTCTTTTCCTTCATCACTAAGAATGGTACATGTATTAAAATCTTTATTTTCCTTTCCAGAATGAATCTTCACAGCTTTATAAAATATTTGCTACTGATAATATTCTCTTGTACTACGGTGACTGATGTACAGACACTTTCATTAGCTGATTCTCAGTGTATTAGCAGTGTTCTGTTTTTTAAGACCTGAACTCTAGAAAAAAAGAGCCAAAATAATAATAACAATAATTTTAAAAAGATATAAAAATACTCTTGCTGAAACTGCAGCTAAGTAGATTGAGGTTGCAAAACCTAAATTTCTATGAGTATTAGGAAATAACTACTAGTAACCATTTTGAAAGTGTCTCTATAGTCAGTCTGACCATTTAATGGAAAGATTGAGAGCAAAATGCATTTTTAACTGGATATATTTGTTTTCTTCCAGCCATCTTAGAAGAAAGGCAAGTTTTTATTTACAAGATGGCAACATGGGATAAACATGAGTCATGTCTATGCTCTTCAGGAGAAAGTATTTAATCTCAACTTTTCAACTGGACACATGCTCAGCCACAAAATAGTTTTGTTTTTACAGGTTACTGCCCAGCTAAGACCAGGAAACCCTAATTCTATGTCAAATACTTCAGAATGGTATCAATAAAAAACCATGTGATTACAATGTCAGCTTCAGTTGGTGATTGGATAGCTGAATAGACTAAAACTTGGTTTCATTGCTTTTGAAGATAAGGGGATGCTGATGGGTCATAGAGTCATATTGGTACAACAGCAACTTTTCATTCTTTACTAGCCAAGAAAGATAAAAAAGAAATAGCTAGTCTCTGTCACTAAACCAACTGTCAGCTGTTTGTATCAGTCTTTGTTCATACTATTTCTTTAATCGTGATGGCTCAGGGTGCTGTTGAAGATGTCAATGTGTATGTTTTTAGTTTTGATCTATTTCTATTTTAAATTTAATTTTTATAGTTCCTTTTTGGGTTTAGGTTTGGGTTTTTTTTTTTAATTTTGGTATTTCCTATTCTGTTGCCTTTCCTGTTCAGTGTTTTCTATGCTTATCTGTAGTTTTCTCAGTATCATCTAATAGCAACCGTTTCTTTTCCTGTCTGCATGAAATGTTTAATTCCTGTTCCTGTATTCTTGTTTCATTACAAGACTTGTGTACCACAGGGAGACCTCCAAATAGGGCTTAAGTGTGACTTAAGTGTTGCATAAGCACTGGTATTTGGATTAGTCTGCTATAGGTACACATTTCCTTCAACATGATTCACTCCAGCTGGATAATTTAGCTCACAATCTTTGTACAGCTGAGGTATAAAATGGCAGTCTGAAATTCCCCTTTGCCAGTATGGCTAATTCCCCTATTAAACCACCTGGGGAATTTTGTCTACCAGGAAGGAAAAGTGTCAGTAAAGACTTGGGCTGATAACAATATGCTGCTAAGAATCTGGTTTAGTACACCTGCTTTGCAACTGCTGTATTTATAGAAGTGGTACAGCTTAGAAGAGCTGCCTGGGAGGATTGCATGTCTCAGTAATGCTGACTCTGAGGCTTTGAAGGGGACAGGATAGTTAGAACACATCCTGCAGACCGTGACTTCAGCAGCTTTGCTGTGAGGGCAGAGCTGCAGCTGTGGGGGTGCCCCTGGTGTGCCGCCTCTGGAGCCTTCTGGAGTCATTGGATAATTGCTGAGTCCAGTGGGGCAGTTTTATTTGCTCCCAGTTCAGCCTGACACACCATATCCCATGCACATGGTAGGATTAACAGCTAGCTTTCCATTCAGAATGTAGAAGGGATTTCTTTTGGCTTCCTCTACGTGATGAACATGAAATTTTCTTTTCTTTTCAATACAGTGAGTTACTGTATGACATTGGCTCAGTTCGTCAGAGGGTGGTGCTAACACCACTGAGGTTATGGGTTCAATCCTTTTATGGGCCATTCACTTAAGAGTTGTACTTGATGATCCATCCTCATGGGTCCCTTCCAACTCAGAATCTTCTGTGATACTATGATTCAGAAGAGGCTTACTAGCATATTCAGAACCACACAAATTCACTGGCTCACACTTTCTGGGCTACCAATATACAGGAAATGAACTCTGTGTTATTGTGGAGTCAGGTAGGTCGCAATTGGATTTATTAGGTTTGGTTCATTTTAGTTGAGAAAAATGCAAAGTAAGACCTTTGTCTTCCTTATTTTTATTAACCTACTTGGAAATTATAAACCATAAGAAAGGGAGAAATGTCTGCTGACAGTAGGAATGCAGTGCATTGAGAACTTACTTCAGTTCCTAAATGGCTTAACCCTAGACCCAAACTGAGGTACTACACAGCTGAGTGATCACTACCCCCTGCATACACACCACCACCCCCTGCAACCCAGTGGGATGGGGAAGAGAATTAAAAAAAGTATCAAAAAAACCCTGACTTGTGGGTTCAGATAATAATAGTTTAATAATTGATACAAACAAAAAGGTAAGAATTGTAACTTCTAAAAATGGAAAAATTAAACCCATAATAAACAAGTGATCCACAATACAGTTGCTCACCACCCACTGATTGATGTCCATCTTGTCTAACTTGACTCAATTTCTCTGGTGTAGAATATCCCTTTGGCCAGTTTGGGTAAGCTGTCCTAGCTATGTCTCCTCCCAGCTTTTTCTGCATCTCCCCACTGGTTGAGAACGAGACATTGAAAACTCCCTGACTTCCAATAAGCACTGCTCAGCAACAGCCAAAACATCAGTGTGTTTTTGTGCTGGTTTGGGCTGTGGTAGAGTTAATTTTGTTCGCAGTGACTGGTATGGGGCTTTGTTCTGGATTTGTTCTGAACACAGTGATGACTATGTAGAGGTGTTTCTGCTATTGTTGAGCAGTGCTGTTGGGTCCCAAGAGAGCAGTCCTGGGCCACCTACTCTGGGATAGCCACAAAATGTCAGGTCCTGAGAGCATACTCCTGGACTGCCTACCCAGGTAGATGATATTTGGGATAGCCCTGGGCTAAATTAGGCAGAACAATGCCAAACAATCAAGTAGAAAGTTTTATTAATGGCAGCAATGATGGCAGAGCTGATCTCAATTTCCAATCTTACTCATTCTGAAAAGTGCAGAATGTTCAGAATCCAACTGCATTAAGGCTGTGCATTCCTCTTCAATGGAGAGTCTATCAGTGATTCCAGTAACGGCAATGAAATAATTTGAGCTAAAATGCTTTGTAGGGTTAGACCTATGTTTGGGTTTGGAGCATCTGTGCAGTGAACTTAACACATCAATTATTCTGAGTCTGCAGTGCAAATGTCAGCCCTGCCCAGAGCTGTGCTTGAGCACAGAGAACATGTGAGAAAGAAGCTGATGGAGAGCTATGTGAGCCTTTATCCTTCCAGCAGTGAACAACTATACAAATAAAAGAGTAGGCAGAAAGTTAACGATGACATTATTCACTTTATTGCCTGATAAAATGTTTTGTTGTGCTTAGTTTGTGTTTCAGATACTGATAAATTTGAGTTTAGAATAGGCTTAGACATGGTTTTCAACAGACACTGAGGAAGAGAACCATGATTGTTCCCAGAAAAGTCCCCTGAAAGCTTCAGTTGGTAAATGGTTTTTCTGTGACTCTCACATACCGATTATTAGACATTTTTTCAAGTTCAAGTTAGTTTCAATTTCT